CCAATTAACCACCAGAAAACCGGAAGTGGCGCTGTGGCTCAAGTGGTAGAGCACTCCCCTTTAGCTGAACAACTCAGGGTCAGCATCCAGGCCCAGAGCTAAAGCCCCACAACTGAAAAAAAATTAGTTTGTTTGAACTGAAGTAGAATATATTTGAGTATAGACAGTATCTGCTGGAGATCAAAGGAACCTGGTAACCGTAGTTGCCTCTACAATGGCATTGGAGTAGAAGTGGCGTCTACTATAGTGCTATTTGACAAGGTGTTTCTGAGACCTCACTTGTGGGAACACCTCCAGTCCAATTAAAGTTCAGTAGAATAGAACAAGGAAGAAAACAATAACTATCTGTAGTTACTGGAACTATAAAAGCTATATAGATTCAGAAAAAAATATGGAGGCATCCTCTGTAATATTTGCACTCTTACAAGTTTTTGTCCAGCAAAGTTTGGATATGGAAAAATTCTTTGGTTTTGGTGTGAAGATGAGCCTGTAAATTCCATTGACATGCCTTTATCTCACACTTAGTAGATGACCACCCAGAACACATAGGGTTATAACAGTATAAACGGAGACCATGTGATCTCTGAGCTTTTTTTGTTAGAAGAACAAGAGCTTAAGTGGAGCTCCTAGGAGAAAGGCAGTGTTTTAACAAGTAGATGTTGGTGTTAGTTTGGGTTATACGTATAATAATTACTTCTCTAGAAAGGAAAAAGCAAATCCTAATGACTATACTCTGGACCTTTTATATTCTCCCCTCTCCCCATCTCTTCCCCTCTCTCTCTTCCCTCCTTCCCTCTTCCTTTCTCCCTTTTCCTCTCTTCTTCTCTCCTACCTCTTCCCCCCACATCCCCCCTCCCCTCTCCTTCTTCCTCCCCTCCCCTCCCCTCCCCTCTCCTTTCTTGTCCTCTCCTCTTGTGAATTTTATGTTTCACAGCAAAATTTTTGACTGTCTTAGTTTCTGTTTAAAATTAAGTTTCCAATTTCAAAGTTCAGTTACATGTTGCTCACTTCCTCTTTTCTGAAACAGGAAGAAAATATTTGGAAATAAAACCACCCAAATATGCTTTAGGATTATCACCCATAATTTTAGAGCCTAGCATTCTTAAAAGTTAGGAGTCTGATGGGTGGGAAGGTGGCTCAGTGGTAGAGCGCTTGCCTTGCATGCATGAGGCCCTGGGTTCGATTCCTCAGCACCACATAAGCAAAAAGAAAAAAGCCGGAAGTGACGCTGTGGCTCAAGTGGTAGAGCGCTAACCTTGAGCTGAAGAGCTGAGGGACAGGGCCCAGGCCCAGAGTTCAGGCCCCATGACCGGACCCCCCAAAAAAAAACCAAAACAAAAAAACAACCAAAAGTTAGGAGTCTGTTTACCACTTAAGAAATATATTAAATTTAGATACTTGAATTCTTATGCTCGCAGTAATGCAGTGTATAATTCTATTAGTGTGCAGTTACATTAATATATTGATTTTAAAAGATTGAGACTGCTTAGTATAATGAAACTATAAACTACATTTTCAGTATAGCAGATTGAAGGAAAATAAAGTATTATCTATGAGCAGTAACATTTCCTTGTATTTAAGAAGATGTGCTTTCTGGAGAAACGTTTAGTTATCATGCAGAAGGGATCTTTTCGCTAAATACTTATGAAAGGAAAAATAGTAGCTTTATGGGGCAGAGACCTGATAGACATCACCTTAACCAAGTGATCAAAGTAAATAGCCCCACGAATGGGACATGAGTATTTTGAGTCTCTTAACATATGATGTACTTTAAAGAATATAACATTACTTCTTTGGTATTCTTGACAAATTGAATCTAATTGTGAGGAAATATCCAAACCCAAATTGAGGGAGGTTATTTTATAAAACAAATGACCTGAGGCTGGGAAGTTGGCTCAGTGGTAGAGTGCTTGCCTTGCATGCCTAAGGCCCTGGGTTCGATTCCTCAGCACCACATAAGCAAAAAGAATAAAAGCCGGAAGTGGCGCTGTGGCTCAAGTGGTAGAGCGCTAGCCTTGAGCTGAAGAGCTGAGGGACAGCGCCCAGGCCCAGAGTTCAGGCCCCACGACCGGACCCAAACAAACAAACAAACGAACAAATGACCTGTTGTCTTTTAAAATCAGCATATTTTAATTGTACAACTGAGTTTCATTGTGGTGTTTCCCTAACTACACTTAATGTACTTTGATCAAATGCACCCCTTCTGTTGCATTCTTATGTACTCTACCCTGTTTTAAAGCAATTTTAATAGATTATTTTCATACATGCATATAAAATACTTGTACAGCATTCCTTCCTCTATTATCCTCTCACTTTCCACTGATTTCCACCTTCAAGCAATTTCTGTTATTAACTGGGTGTGTTGGTATGTGCCTGTAATTCCAGCACTCAGGAAATTGAGGGAGGATCTCAAGTTCGAAACCAGCCTGTTACATAGTGAGAATTTGTCTTAAAAAAAAAAAAAAAAGAAGAAAGAAAAGAAAATGGAAAAAAAAACATATTATGATGGTGAGATAGAGACTATAAAGAATCACTCCAGATGAAAAGAGGAAAAATGGTTCCAGATTCAGGAAGATATCATTAAGAAATAGGATGTGAAACTGGGAAATCGTGGCTTAATGCTTTTAGTTTAAGCAACTCTGGATGGAGGCAGAGATCTGAGGGCTGGTAATTCCTTGCTACCCTGGGCAGGAAGGTCTGAGATTCTTTATCTAATGCAGATGTTATCTGGATTAGGGAAGGGAAGGGGAAGAACAGAATGATGAGACAAAGGACAAGGGGGAAACCAATGCAACAGGGATATTCACAAGACCACTTGTTGGTAATGATCTGTTGGGGGAGGGAAAGTAGAAAAAACAGGGAAGGAGTAACAAGTTTGACAAGAATTGTATTTATTATCTTATGTAATTGTAACCCCTCTGTATATCACCTTGACAATAAAAAAAAAAAACAAAACAAAACTTGGAAGTAGTTTTGCGACTTAAGTGGTAGAGTAGCTAGCCTTGAGCAAAAAAAGTTCAGAGACAATGCCCATGCTCTGAGTTCAAACCCCAGGATCTGAACAAAAACAAACATTTGAGGAAACTTGAATAAGGTCTATAGATAATAATACAAGTATCAGTGTTAACATTCCTGGTAATTTTGCTACCCTTAGAGACAGCATATTTAGGAACACTGCAGTACTTTGGGTTAAAGAAGCACTATCAGTTTACCACTTTCAGACAAATCAGTAAAAAACGTGATACGTAAGTGTGATTAAACACCACAGTGGGGGAGGAATCCAGGTTCACATTGCATCACAATTCTCTGGGGATATATTGTGATTTTCCTAAGTTTGAAATTACTTCAAAGTGAAAAGTTAATGGATGTAATAGTTTGATAAAGTCTGTCACTACTGATTTTTTAATGTTAAAAAAATCTCTGGATTATTTTTCTAATCTATAAAATGAAGTAGCTGGATGAGGTTAAACTTTTAAGGTTTTCCTATTTATGCATTCCTTGGCTTTCTAACCAGATATTTGTAACAGTAATTTTTACCCTGAATACAGCCATTCTCAAAGAAGCCACTAGTAGAAAGTGGAAGCTAAGTGTTTTTCCTGTGAATCAAATGATGTTAAAAAATAAAGCCTGATTGTGCGGGGAAAGATGGAGAAAGTTGGAATGGATGACATTGATCAAGATGCATTGTACTCACAACCTGACTTCTGGAATTGAAACCATTTTGTAGATCTACTTAATAAAAATAAATACTAAAAAATGAGGCCTAGGTGCTACATGACAATATAATAGTTATTGAACTATTTTTTTTCTTCCAGAGAAATTTTTATTGTGTATTTTGCTTGTTGATTTTTACTTAAGCACTCATGATATTTTATTAGTTTTCTGTTTTTTTTTTTTTTTGTTGTTGTTGTTTTTGCTGGTCATGGGGCCTGAACTCTGGGCCTGGTGCTGTCCCTCAGCTCTTAAGCTCAAGGCTAGTGCTCTACCACTTGAGCCACAGTGCCACTTCAGGCTTTTCTGCTTATGTGGTGCTGAGGAATCGAACCCAGGGCCTCATGCATGCAAGGCAAGCACTCTACCACTGAGCCACCTTCTCAGCCCATCTTACTAGTTTTCTATGCAATATTATTTAACAATTGATTATTCAATGAAAATGTACTCCAGATCCAAGATTCATAATGAAATATATGTGGTAGCGATTCATAGTCCCTGAACTTAGGATTGTCTGTATATAAATAGTGGAACTGGGCTGGGAAGGTGGCTCAGTGATAGAGCGCTTGCCTTGCATGGGTGAGGTCCTGGGTTCGATTCCTCAGCACCACATAAGCAGAAAAAAAAGCTGGAAGTGGCGCTGTGGCTCAAGTGGTAGAGTGCTAGCCTTGAGCTGAAGAGCTGAGGGACAGCGCCCAGGCCCAGAGTTCAGGCCCACGACCAGACCCCCCCCCCCAAAAAAAAAAAAAAAATAGTGAAACTGGGCATTTTCCTAAATAATCCAATTATTTAGGAGACAGAGGCAGGAAGATCCTGAGTTCTAGGCTAGCATAGGCCACAGAACAAATTCAAGACTCAATTCCAAGCTACAGTAACCTGGTCTCATGTAACTATAAATATGTGAAAAAAGATACAAGTAACTGGTAATGTATAAACTAAGTCCATAAAAAGTGTAGCGTAGTTACCCCCCCCCCCTTGTTGTTCTCCCTCCCTTCCCTCTCTTCCCTCACCCCCCCACTTCCCTCCTCCCTCCAACTGTAATCCCTCTGTATAGCATCTTTACAATAAAATAAAATTAAAAAAAAGAAAGTATAACACAGGTTTGATGTGTACCCAATAGATCAGATACAGTGTTGACCTAACATGTGCCAGGCCCTGTGTTTGGTCCTTACCCCTGCAAAAAGGCAAAACAAATGAGATAAAAGGAAAGCACTTTTGGCTTATTTCTAGCGAAAGCAAAATGTTGATAATCCTATTTCTCTCCCTGCATCTCTCCCAACCTTTCCTAGCTTGGTGATCCAGCTATTTTTCCTGCTGTAATTGTGGAACATGTTCCTGGCGCTGATATTCTCAATAGTTATGCTGGTCTAGCCTGTGTGGAAGAGCCTAGTGACATGATTACTGAGAGCTCACTGGATGTTGCTGAAGAAGAAATCATAGATGATGATGATGATGACATCACCCTTACAGGTACATTTGTCCTCATGTGACCTTACTACAGCACAGTTCGAGGTTTGGTGGTACAGAAAGCCTCTGCAAAAGCCAGAACTCTATGGGAAAAAGAAAAGTGTTTGTCTTGTTCTGAATCATATTTTTCTTTCCCCTTTTTCCCTAACTATATTGAGATGGAGTGATACAAAAAGGAGGCAAACTACAAAATTCATCAAGCCTTGACAAGCTAACTTATTTTGTGTTTTTTTGGCAGTTGTGGAGCCTGAACTCTGGGTCTGGGAGCTGTCCCTCAGCTCTTCAGCTCAAGGCTAATGCTCTACCACCTGAGCCACAGTGCCACTTCCGGCTTTTTCTGCTTATGTGGTGCTGAGGATTCGAACCCAGGGCTTCATGCATGCAAGCACTCTATCACTGAGCCACCTTGCCAGCCCTGACAAATTAACTTTTTATATTCTTAGCTCTGTATTCCTGGGAACAAGATGAAAAGAAATAGGAATGTAAAGAAATAGGAATGCTCAGTGCTGAAGGTGGCTCAGTGGTAGAGTGCTTGCCTTGCTTTTTTTTTTTTGGTGGTCATGGGGCTTGAACTCTGGGCCTGAGCGCTGTCCCTCAGCTCTTCAGCTCAAGGCTAGTGCTCTATCACTTGAGCTACAGTGCCACTTCTGGTTTTCTGGTGGTTTATTGGAGACAAGCGTTTCACAGATTTTCCTGCTTGGGCTGGCTTTGAACCGTGATCCTCAGATCTCATCTCCTGAGTAGCTAGGATTACAGGCGTGAGCCACTGGCGCCTGGCTGAGTGCTTGCCTTGCATGCATGTGGCCTTGGGTTTGATTCCTTAGCACCACATAAGTAGAAAAAGCCAGAAGTGGCAATGTGGCTCAAGTGGTAGAGTGCTAGCCTTGAGCTGAAGAGCTGAGGGACAGCAACCAGGCCCAGAGTTCAGGCCCCATGACCTACCAAAAAAAAAAAGAATGCTCTTTTCTTACTGCTGCCATAGGAAACAAAATAGGAGGTCATGACCTAATGTATGATAAGGCCTTGGGATGAATAGAGGATTTCTCTTCAGGTTCAGTCACAACTAGGAAGATATTTCACTGGAAAAAATAGGTTCCATATGTGTGCGGTAGGGTAATGTTACTTTTATCAGATATAAACATTGGTACATGATTTGTAATGTATTGTGTATGTTTTCACTCAGGTATCTTGCCCACATGATGTCAGGAATATTTGAGAAATTTTATTTGTAAGAAAATAGTTGCATCATTGTTACTAAGAGAAAGTTTACCAGAAACAGGCATAATTAGATATATTGTCATTTTGTTGGTAGAATTGTGACTACTTAGACTCGGCTTTACTTTAGTGTCTTGCACAATGTTCAGGACATGGTATAAATTCGGTAAAAATTTATTTGTCCTTTTTTGTTGGTTGTGGGCCTTAAACTCAGGTCCTCGGTGCTGTCCCTTTTAGTAAACATTTCTCCCATCAAAAATTTAGCAAAGCTGGGTGCTGGTGGCTCACGCATGTAATCCTAGCTATTGAAGAGGCTGAGATCTGAGGATCTCAGTTCGAGGCCAGCCCAGCCAGAAAAGGCCATGAATTAAGCACCAAAAAGCTGGAAATAAAGCTGTGACCCAAGTGTTAGAACACTAGCCTTGAGGAAAGAAATTCAGGGACAGTGCCCAGCCCCTGAGTTTAAGACCCAAGACTGGCTTAAAACAAACAAAAACACTACCAAATACTAAAACTTTGAAGTGACAGTAACTTTCAGAGGTGCTATTAGTAAAAGAAAGTTGGATATTAGAATTGAATATTAAGGCCAAATACAGGTACGGATCTATTTCAAGAAGTTTACATATAACCTAGTGACATTTTAATTAGAAAGGAGAGGAAGGATGACTGCGTATCCCATTTGGTGGCGAGTAGGGAGAAAAAGAAGTTAGATTCCTACCTACCTTAATCATACTCTAAAATATCAAAACAAATCCCATATTGGTTAAAATTTTAATGTCACAAGCAAAATCACCTAAAAACCAAAAGTACTTTGGAAAGTTGACTAAAGGATTAAACATTTATAGAACTGGGCATTGGTGGGCTGGGAAGTTGGCTCAGTGGTAGAGTGCTTGCCTTGCATGCTTGAGGCCCTGGGTTCGATTCCACCACATAAGCAAAAAGAAAAAAGCTGGAAGTGGTGCTGGGGCTCAAGTGGCAGAGCGCTAGCCTTGAGCTGAAGAGCTGAGGGACATTGCCCAAGCCCAGAGTTCAAGCCCCACGACCGGACCCAAAAAAAAAAGAACTGGGCATTGGTGACTCACACATGATAATGTTTAAAGTAGGGAATGAGCATAAATTTTCATTATACTGTGTCTCTTCTATTTTGTATGAAATTTCTAATTATAAAAATAGTTAATGACCATGAAATTTGAGGCTTAAAGTAGATTATAACTGTCCTATATAACCTGCTCAACAAAATAATTAGTCACGATTTCCATGCTCATCAAAATGATTAGTTATTAATTTATTTTATATCAGGGTATAAATTTGAACTTATAAAAAATGTACAATGTCAGGTACTGGTGGCTCATGCTTATAATCCTAGCTATACAGAAGGCTAAGATCTGGAACATTACAGTTCGAAGCCAGCCCAGGCAGGAAAGTCCTCAAGACTCTGTTTCCAAGTTACCAGCAAAAAACAGTTCTTGAAATATGGTTCAACTGGTAGAGTACCAGCTGTGAACAAGGCTGAGTGTGTTCAAGGCCTTAAGTTCAAAATTATAGTACCATCAGAATTTTTAAAAAGCCACTTTTTGGCAGAACTGGAATTTGAATTCAGAGCCTAATGCATGTGAGACAAGTACGCTACCATTAAAGCCACTTTTCCAGCCCCCTAAACACTGCATTTATATATTTCTAGGTAAGTTTTGTTTGTGTAAAGCCTTGTATTGCTAAATTTTTTTGAAAATTTTAAACTTTACTCTCACCTATGTGGAGCATCTTCTGTTACAAATACCATGTTTATATCTACTATTTTGTGTATGTATATGCCAGTCCTAGGATACTGTCTGTGAGCTTTTGTACTCAAGGCTCTGTCACTTGAGCCACAGCACCACTTACAGTTTTTGGGTGGGTTATTTGGAGATAAGAGTCTCATGGACTTTCCTGCCCTAGCTAGCTTTGAACCATGATCCTCAGATCTCAGCCTGGGATTATAGTAGCTGGGATTACAGCTATGAACCACTGGTGCCTGGCTTATATTTACCTTTTATTCTTGTGTAAAATAAAAGGTTTAGATTCAGTTATATACTGTCACTTCAATCTTGAAGGATCTAGAGATACAAAATGATTTATTTGATATTAAGTGCATTTAGTAACAAGATTTCTGTCAAACCAGGACCCTTTCCATAGCAGTCTAATGTTCATCTTTATTCTGGAAATGTAAGAATTACAAATTAATTGGTTTTCATCCAGAGTATGAACTATATTTTACTTATCTCCAGCTCCTTGCAAAAGGTTGGGGTCTTTTATGGTGGTTGTTTTGAATGTGTGTGTGTGTGTGAGTATCTGTGTGTATATGCTTGTGCTTGTGCTGGTACTGGTGCTTAAACTTAAGCCCTCAAACCCTTGGTTAGCTATTTTGTTCAAAGCTTGCAGTATACCACTTGAATCAAATCCCCACTTCCAGCCTTTTGCTGGTTGATTAGAAATAAGAACCTCTCAGATTTATCTGCCTGGGCTCAGCTTTCTGAGTAGCTTGGATTACAGGTGTAAGCCACTAGCATCTGGCTATAAAAGTTATTATTATTATTATTATTTTTTTTTTTTTTTTTGTCGGTCATGGGGCTTGAACTCTGGGCCTGGGCGCTGTCCCTCAGCTCTTCAGCTCAAGGCAAGTGCTCTACCACTTGAGCTACAGCGCCACTTCCGGTTTTCTAGTGGTTTATTGGAGATAGGAGTCTCACGGTCTTTTCTGCCCGGGCTGGCTTTGAACCGCGATTCTCAGATCTCAGCCTCCTGAGTAGCTAGGATTACAGATGTGAGCCACCGGCACCCGGCAAAAGTTATTATTTTTTTTATTTTTTACTTTTGTCGGTTGTGGGGCCTGAACTTTGGGCCTGGCCACTGTCCCTCAGTCCTTCAGCTCAAGGCTAGTGCTCTACCACTTGAGCCACTGCTCCATTTCCAGCTTTTTCTGTTTATGTGGTGCTGAGGAATCGAACCCAGGGCCTCATGCATGTAAGGCAAGTACTCTACCACTGAGCCAGGTTTCCAGCCCAAAAGTTATTTTTAAATAAAATTAGGCACTTTACTTAATAGCCAGATTCAGTACTGTTTCATATGTTCACAAAAATTATACATATTATAATTTATGTGCATATAAACTTAGAGTATGAAGTGATGCATCTTGCTTCAGCTAGTAATATATGAATTTCAGAGCAACGTATATATTGTAGCTAATTTTTCTTTGTATGTGTTCAGTTGAAGCGTCCTGTCATAATGAGGATGAAACTATTGAAACGATTGAGGCTGCTGAGGCACTCCTCAATATGGATTCTCCTGGCCCTGTGTTGGATGAAAAACGAAGTAAGTGGTTGAATCACTCATAGTATGTACTTTGTGAATTATTCTTGCCATTTCTCTCTCCATTAAATGGTAAATATCAAAACTATGTTTATATTTTTGAGTTTCTAAGCACATTTTATAGGACATTATTAGTTGAGTCACCTGTGTTAAAATCTTCAAAGAAAACTTTTTTTTGGGGGGGGGATGCTGATATTGGGTCTTGAACTCTGAGCCTTTCACTCTTGCTTAGCTTTTTTGCTCAAGCTGGCATTTCACCACTTGAGCCACATCTTCATTTCTGGATTTTTACTGGTTAATTGGAGAAAAACGTGCCTTGGATTTGTCTGCCAGGCTGGGCTCAAACCAGTCTCCTCAGATCTCAGTTTCTGGAATAGCTAGGATTACGTGAATGAGCCGCCAGTGCCTAGAATAGAAAACTCTGTACTTTGGGGACTGAAGCCTTCAGGAACAAAAAAGTAATACATTGATTGTCACACATTACACTGATAAATTTCCTCTCTTAACTCCATTGGTGAAAATATTAAAGTTTTTGAAACCAGGCTATTATAATTTAGCCATCTCTATAGATAAGCATAATGGAACAGATAAAAATCCATTGAAATTTTTACTTTTAATTTTTAAAAAAGTTTATTGTTATTATAAAGATGATGTACAGAGGGTTACAGTTTTTACTCACTTTTAATGTCATAAAATTTATTGCTGTGATATTGATACATTTTTTAAAATCCATGTTCGCCTTTGAGCTTTTCTGACAAAGACTTAAACTCATAAAATTACTAAATCATTACAAAATATTTGCTATATGCCTAGTAGCATACAGCAATAAAGGATGTACAAAGTTTTAGGCAGTAACAGGATAATACAAATGAATAATGTTTGTCTTTTCCTCTATCTTTAATATTTTGTTAGTTACTTATGTGAATAATTGTAAAAGTCAAAAATAATGACATGGAGAGTAATAGCAAAGTGTTCTGGAATGCTCTAGATGAGAACAAGAGAGATAGGCATTAAGAGGGATAGGCACTAAGAGGGAGTGCTTAGCTTGAGTTATAAATGATAATAAGCTTCACTAGACAGAAGAGTCAGGAAAGAGTACTCTAGCTAGAGGGAATAGATCAACAGACACAGACTTGTGAAAAAACAAAAATTTGAGGAACATGGCTTGTTGTACATGAAGTAAAAGCTTTATGGTGAGTGGAAAATGAGATTAGAAAGGTAGTATTATATTGTCGAAGCTGTGAAAGGCATATTACAAAGTTTGCATTGTTCTTAAATTTTTTTCCTTAGTAAATTATAGGAAGAGATTTTTTTCCTATAATTTTTCCTTCTAATTTTATGTAGAGGGATACTTTGGTCAGGCTTTAGAAGATAACTCCAAAGCCAGATGCCTGTGGCTCCAGCCTATGAAACTAGCCAATTGGGAGGCTGAGATTAGGAAGATCAAAGTTTAAGACCAGGCTGGGCAGAAACGTTTGAGAGACTTTCTCAGCCCATAACTGTACCACAGTGATTTGCCTCTGACATTCCAAGCTACTTAAGTGGGAGGTTGAAATTGTGAAGGTAGTAGTTCCAGGACAGAATTTCTGCAGAAGGATACTAAACGTGGTGGTTGCATGCCTGTGATCCCAGCAACTACAGGAATTCTGTAGTTCAATCACAATTCAGGTGGATCACAATTAAAGTACATGCTAGGGTACTAAGTGAGACCCTATCTTATACACAGTGAGGGGGTAGGACTGGAAGGTGTGGCTCAGCAATAGTATAATAGCCTGCCAGTGTAAAGGTCTTAACACTAAATAAAAAAAGTAAACTAAAAGAAGGTAATGCTAACATAGAGATGAAATATTGGTGATAAGAACAAAAGAAAAATAATGATATAGTCCAGACAAGCCTGGACTGATTTAGGGTTCTCGATATAGGACAGAGAAAACAAAAAGAGAATACAGGTTTTCAATTTTACTCATATCTTCATAGAATTAGGAAACTCTTTTGATTTCTAATACACTGTTGATTGTAATTTTTATTCTATTTCCATTAGATAATAACATATTTAGTCATTCTGAAGATGACATTGTTGCTCCAATCACCCATGTATCCGTCACATTAGATGGGATTCCTGAAGTGATGGAAACTCAACAGGTGCAAGAGACATATGCAGATTCACCAGGAGCCTCATCCCCAGAACAGCCTAAAAGAAAGAAAGGTGGGTAGTTAATTTGTTTAGGTCAAATAATCAAGTTTTGATGTGGAATCCAAATATTTTTATTCAAGCCTATATCTTCATCAATTAAAACATGTAAGAAAAAATTGAGGGCATAAAACAAATTAAAACAGTATTTCATATTATAGCCATTAAAATTATATTACACATTTAAAATATAAAAAAAAATACATGTCAGAACCAGGTGCTGGTGGCTCATACCTAAATCCTAGCTACTCAGGTGGCTGAGATCTGGGGATTGTGGTTCGAAGCCAGCCCAGGTAGGAAAGTCCATAAGAGTCTTTATCTCCAATAAACTACTCAGAAAAAGCCAAAAGTGGTGCTGTGGCCAAAATGGTAGAGCACTAGCGTTGAGCACAAAGAGGGCTCAGGGACAACACTCAGGCATTGAGTTCAAGCCCCAGGACTGGCAAAAAAGGGGGAAAAAGATTTATGTCAGCTTTTGAAGTCTTCAAAGTTTTACCTAAACCCTTTCGTACAAGCTCAAAAAGAGGTTTGAGAATAAAAGCAGGTCAGTGTCCTTCCAAGGAATATAATTTGAAAGATGTCAGTCTACTAGTAATTCCTTAGATGAGGGGGGAGTGGGTCAAAGGGGAGTGAGAATGTTGAAAGGGGAGACTCTGATCAATATGCATTGTATTCATAAACTGCTTTGTTAAGTGGCAATGCCTTTGTACAACTATTTTTTTTTTTTTTTTTTGGTCGGTCGTGGGGCTTGAACTCTGGGCCTGGGTGCTGTCCCTCAGCTCTTCAGCTCAAGGCGAGCGCTCTACCACTTGAGCTACAGCGCCACTTCCGGTTTTCTGGTGGTTTATTGGAGATAAGAGTCTCACGGTCTCTCCTGCCCGGGCTGGCTTTGAACCGCGATCCTCAGATCTCAGCCTCCTGAGTAACTAGGATTACAGGCGTGAGCCACCAGCACCCGGCTTGTACAACTATTTAAAGATAATAAAAAAACAGTTGCTTTGGTAATAGTTTCAGTTTCTTAAATTTTATAATGTATACTAAGTAGCCATTCTGCTACTGTGTTGAAATAAAAAGAAATTAAACCTATGTTCATAGACAAAACTATGCATGAAGGTTTTTAGAAGTCCTATTTGTAAATGTCTATAACTAGAAACAACCCAAATAGCCATCAACTTCTGATTAAATAGATGAATTAGTGTATCAATATATCAATATATATATATATATATATATACCTATAATTGAGTAGTAAAATTAAAGTGTTGATACATGTAATGAAAATTGAATGAATCTAAACCCAGATGATAAAGAAATATGCTCTCATACAACCTTAGACACTGACTACTCTGTGACAACAGATGAGTCCTTGCAGATTGAGTAGTTTGGGAAAAGAGGTGGTGACTAAGTACAGAATGTTAATCCCTCAGGCAGCAGGCTTGTCTTAAAAACAGGCTAGCAAACTGTGGTTCTAGGTAAGTGGCAAAAGGTGGCCTCAAACAAGGTTTTTCAACAGTTCAGCAACTCAGATGAAGGCTGTCTGGATAGACTTTATAATTTAGTGATTCATAATGGATAACTATAAAGTTTGTTTGCTAAAAGAAATACAGAAAATGAGATGTTTAGGAGTACATACAAAAATTACCATTTCATAAAAGCTTTGCCTCATAGATTCTCTAAATCTCTAAGTTTCTAATATTGACAAATTAAGTGTATGAAGAAATATCTTTAATAGAAAAGTGGAAGTATGGCTCAAGTGGTAGAGCATCAGCCTTGAGTGGGAAAGCCAAGCAAGAGTTGAAGGCCATAAGTTCAAATCCCACTTTTGGTACAAACAAAAGAAAGGGGAAAAAATGAAAGAAAACATGTAGGAGACAAACACTTTAAATATTTTGAGGTGGGTGCTGGTGGCTCACTCCTATAATCCTAGTTTATAAGAAGTTTGAGATCTGAGGACTGAAGGTTCTTCAATTAGCCACCAAAAAGCTGGAAGGGGGGCTGGGATGTAGCTCAGTGGCAAAATGCTTGCCTAGTAAATGTAGCATTCTGGGTTCTATCCCCAGAACCCCCAAAAACCGTAATTACAGTTAAAAAAAAAAAGCTAGAAGTGGAAGTATAGTTACGACTCAAGTGGTAGAGCACCAGCCTTGAGCAAAAAAGCTAATGGACAGCACCAAATCCCTGAGTTCTAGCCCCAGTACTGGCACAAAAAGAAAAGAATAAAGAAAAGGTAAAAGCCTCTTTGTTGCGTATTCAAAAGTTTATATATGTTACAGGCAGACAAACCAGTATAGCTAATTTTTAAGCCTGAGTTTTATCTTTGTGAAGAGTAGTCTCCATAATTTTAAGAAATTATGGTTACTTTATGTCAAAGACAAGACTATTTGAAATTTGAATTCATTTTAAAATATGAACTTATAGTATTATTTCTTACATAAATGTATTTGTGATCTGAATTACTTAATGTTCAATTTTTTGTAAGGGTTTGAACAAGAATCTTGTGCTTGTTAGGCAGGTACTCTATTATCTGAGCTATACACAAAGCACAGTTAATTTTTCAGCTTTTACTGGTGTTATTTTTCCTTCAGTAAATGGAATTTTGAGAAATTGGCATGTATGACTTTTGGATTGAGTAGTGTGGGGAAGGAGGTGGTAACTTGAAATTTTGGATAAGTGACAACATAGCTAAATTGTTTTTTCTCTTTTAATTTTGATGACAAATACTTAGGCAGAGCTATTTTAATTACAGGGAGAAAAACTAAACCACCACGACCAGATTCGCCGGCTACTACTCCAAATATATCTGTGAAAAAGAAAAACAAAGATGGGAAGGGTAAGTGTTACTATAATTTACCTATAATAGGGGCCAAATAATACTCAGGTTTTATAGTGTCTTCATGTAAGTTGAAACCATATTTTTTTGATGTGTTGAAATAGAACTTACAGCTGCCATATAAGATAGCAATTTCTTTGAAGAGAATGATAAGTAACTGAAGAAATCCACTTGAGATATTTTCACCTACTTGTCACAATAATCCATTCTTCTATTCATGGATTGAGTTCTTGTAAGAGTTCAACCTTTAGAATTTCAGTTCATACATAGTTTTTGAAATTTCATTATCTTCGTAAGTATTGGTTAAATTTCATGTAAGTTGTTAATCTCTGGCTCTTATTTTTTTTTAAAAGAGTAAGTATTCAGAGGTTTTATACAAGTTGTTCATATTTTTTCTAAGTGATGGTTCTTAAAGAGGAAGGAAAACAAAGATCTTAGAAAGTGGTGTTGTGGGTCAAGTACTAGAGTGATAGCTCTGAGCAAATGAAGTTCAGGGACAGTGCTCAGGCAGAGTTCCAGACCTACAACCGGCAAATGGTTTTGTCTTAAAGTCATCACTTATCTACTTGACAAAATTATCTTTATTCATATATCCTTTATTAGACCCTAAAAATTGACTACAGTATTTACTGTATCTTGTGATTTGTGTTTTGCTATGCTCTTTGTTGCTGTTGGTCATGGGGCTTGAACTCGGGGCCTGGGTGTTGTCCTACCCTCTTTTGCTCAAGGCTAGTGCTCTACCATTCTGAGCCACAGCATCACTTCTGGTTTTCTTGAGGTAAGTTGGAGATAAAAGTCTCATGGACTTCCCTGCCCTGGCTGTCTTTCAAGCTGTGATCCTTAGATCTCAGTCTCCTGAGTAGCTAGGATTACAAATGTGAGCCACCAGCACCTACTTTTCCTGTGCTTTGTTATTTACTGTGCTCTTTTAAAGGAAAATTGATCACTTAAGAATAAATTGTTTTGTTTCAGGAAACACAATTTATCTTTGGGAGTTTTTATTGGCCCTTCTCCAGGATAAAGCTACCTGTCCTAAATATATCAAATGGACCCAGCGAGAAAAAGGCATTTTTAAATTGGTAGATTCTAAAGCAGTATCCAGGTTGTGGGGGAAACACAAAAACAAACCTGATATGAATTATGAAACCATGGGAAGAGCACTCAGGTATGTGCAGTTTTTGTTGTGTAAGAGTATCATTTCCTAGATGTTGAAAAACTTTAGAAATTTAGTAAAGAAGTAGTGAACTTTACTTTTTTTTTCTTAGCAGTACTTAAGATTAAATTCAGGGCTCCACGTTCTCAGTCTGTTTTGCTTTAGTTTGTTTTCAGCTTAATTTGTTTGCTTACACTTTTTCTTTTTGTTATTATTGGTCCTGGGGCTTGAACTCTGGACCTGGGCGCTCTCCCTGAGCTCTTCAGCTCAAGGCTAGCACTCTACCACTTGAGCCACAGCGCCACTTCCAGTTTTCAGAAGTTTCACTGCCCAGGCTGGCTTTTGAACTGTGATCCTCAGATCTCAGCCTCCTGAGTAGCTAGGATTATAGGCATAAGCTACCAGCCCCTGGCCTTCCTTACACTTTTGGTCTGGACCATTAGACCATGATCCTTGTACCTCCTTTTCCTCTTCTCCCCATCTCATCAGTTATTATATTAGACATGACATTTTTGAAGGAGAGTACCTTTTTTTTTTTTTTTTAAATGCCTGCCCTGGGGCTTGAACTCAGGGTCTGGACAGTGTCCCTAAGCTTTTTTTGCTCAAGGCTAGTGTTCTACTACTTGAGCAACAGCTCTGCTTCCAGCTTTTTGGTGGCTAATTGGAGGTAAGTCTCATAGATTTTCCTACTCAGGCTGGCTTTTAACCGCAATTCCCAGATGTCAGCCTCCTTAGTAGCTAGGATTATAGGTGTGAGCTACCAGCGCCCAGCCACTTTTATTCTTAACTTGTTTTTTCTATGTCACCAGTATATACTATTTAAGAAAGGCTTTTTTTGTGTCTAAATGTATAAGTATATTCTGTATAACTTCCTACATTCTCACCTGTTTGAATACAAGTTTTAATGTTTTATGAGTAGGAAAAATTAATTTGTTGTCATCTTTTGCTTAATTGATGTTTAATTGAATAACATCGATGAACTGTTTGCCTTAAATAGGTACTATTATCAGAGGGGTATTTTGGCCAAAGTGGAAGGTCAGCGCTTGGTGTATCAGTTTAAGGAAATGCCAAAAGACCTTATATATATAGATGAGGAGGACGCAAGTTCCAGCATAGAGTCTTCGGATCCATCCTTATCTTCAACAGCCACAAGTAGGAATCAAGCAAGCCGTTCAAGAGTATCTTCAAGTCCAGGCGTAAAAGGAGGAGCCACTTCAGTTCTAAAACCAGGGCATTCTAAAGTGGCAAAACCCAAAGATCCTGTGGAAATTGCACAGCCATCAGAAGTTGTGAGGACAGTGCAGCCCTCACAGTCTCCATATCCTACCCAGTTATTCCGGACTGTTCATGTTGTACAGCCAGTACAGGCTGTCTCAGAAGGAGAAGCAACCATAACCAGCACCATGCAGGAAGAAACTATTCCGAGTATTAGGTGAGAAAACCAAAGTGACTGATTCATATCACCATGTAATGTTTTTGACCAGAGCCATTATTTAAGTAGGTCAAGATTCAGAGGTTAAAACTTCAAGCTAGAACTCTTGACAGATTGCTTAAGGAGCAGCAATATTATGATATTCATCTGATAGTATCAAGGACTCTTTAGTTTTAAACTTGGACTGTATTTTATGTAATTTTATTGCTTTATTCCACTAAATGGATCACACAAAGAATGACTCAAATGGACAAAAAATACCAAAGGATAGTTGTAGATCATTTTTCAGATCATTAGAATCTATAAAAATTCAGCATAAATTGACATCTTATGACGTTTAGAATGCTTTGAGTTCTGAGAAATGTTATTTCTTGGGAAGCTTCTATTTTGAAAACTGTTCTACTGTTCAAACAAGTGTGGCTGAAGTGGTTAGTGCACCAGCCTAAAATTCAAACAGGTGTGGAAGTCAAGAATCTAAGGTCCTTTATTTTTATTGGTTGTGGGGCTTGAACTCTGGGCCTGGGTGTTGTCCCTGAGCTTTTCAGCTCAAGGCAAGCACTCTACCATTTGAGCCACAGCACTACTTTGGTTTTCTGGTGTTAACTGGAGATAAGAGTCTCATGGACTTTCCTGCCCAGGCTGGCTTTGAACTGTGATCCTCAGATCTCAGCCTCCTTAGTAGCTAGGATTATAGAGACACCAGTACCTGGCTCTAAGATCCTTTATTTTAGAGTTCAGTGTGCCAGAAGTTGGAAAAGTAATTTTTTATTTTTTATTCAGTAGATGCTGAATAATAAATTGACCAAGAAAATACTACCTGCTTTATGGTTGGTCTTTTGTAGAAATTGAGACTGGTCTCACCTGATTTAGAGTGGGAACAAGGGAAGATGGTAGAAAATTAAGACAGATACTTGCAGTGCTCATGATTTTCCAGAATATGGACTTAACGTAGCATATTGGAGCCTTTCCAAAGACAATACAGTTGTATATCCCGGAATATAAATGCCAAGGTTTTGTCAGTTGCTCTTGATGTAAGTTAATATTACTTAAACCCAGTCTTCTTTGTGTAGCAAATTTTTAAAAAATGTGGTGCTGGGGACTGAATGGGTAGGACCTTTGTATGTGCTCGGTAAGTGATCTACCTCTGGGTTTCAGTCCCAACCCAAGTTTAAATGTTTTAAATTGTGAAAATCAAATGATAACAAATGGAAATGTAGTCAGGCAGCCAGCTTTATTTGTATAGGTAGGAAGGAATTATGTGAAGAATATGATTGTTGGCAGCTGAGTCTATGAAACTATGCAGTATGGATTTGGAAAGAGTTGAAAGAAGAAAACCAAAAAAATCTAGAAAAATGTCTTGTAGAAATGTTTAGCATATGTAATCCAAAAAGCGGTCACTAGTGGAAAATGTCATACCTGGCCTCAAGTTACAGGTCACAGGTCACAACCCATAGTTTATGTTATCTGCACATACTCCAGACCCCAAAAGCAAAATCCAGAAACCTGAAACATCTGTTCCTAAGCAAGACCAGAATGAATGTTCAACCTCATTATCTGACGAGAAATGTATCATAAATGGGCAGAGTCCATGGAACTCTTGTACCTAGAAATGAAGATTCTGTTTACCAAGGACAGTTGGAAAACCACTGGGAGTATACCTCTGAACTTGGCTTTTAACTTCTGAATTGCACTGAGTCATGATTCAGTTCTATCTATCTTGTAACATTAGTAATCCTCTGGTTTACAGGGACTAATTTAGTATTAGTAATGTTTCTTTCATAAAGAATTCAGAGAGCCGGGCGCTGGTGGCTCACGCCTGTAATCCTAGCTACTCAGGAGGCTGAGATCTGAGGATTGCGATTCAAAGCCAGCCCGGGAAGGAAAGACTGTGAGACTCCAATCTCCAATAAACCACCAGAAAACCGCCAGTGGTGGTGTAGCTCAAGTGGTAGAGCACTTGCCTTGAGCTGAAGAGCTGAGGGCAGTGCGCAGGTCCAGAGTTCAAGCCCCACGACCGACCAAAAAAAGAAAAAGAATTCAGAGAAAACAGTTGAGATCTGGATGTTATATTTTCAAATATTTAATATTTACAATTGCCATAACTACAAATTTCATTTGAACTATTCAAATTAGACTGACTCATATAATTTATATACCATTTTATTTAATAATAATGATCACATTATATAATCTGGATTTTCCATTAAAAGATTTCATTATATTGTAGCTTTATAACTAAAACTTGTGAAAATTTTTGGGTCTACAAAACTGATAAAATGTCTGCTTATTTTTTTGCCAAAACTTGTCCTTAATTTTTTGCTCTTTTCCAGTATAAAACTTAATTACAGTAATCCTTTGTTTTGTTTAAATGTAGGGACTGTAAGATATTAAAACTGTCATAGTTCTATTATATGTAAATTTTAAGACAACACAAGTTGAAAACAATTATATTAAATTTAGTCATTGTAATGGATAAACATCCTGGAAGAGTAAATATGCTGCCATGTGCCACTGGCTCATGCCTGTAATTCTAGCTACCCAGGAGGCTGGGCCCTGAGGATCCTAGTTCAAAGCTAGTCTAGGCACCAAAAGACTCTTAATCTCCAATTAACCAACAAAAAGCCAGAAATGGAGCTGTGGCTCAAGCGGGGTACAGCACTGATCTTGAATTAAAGAGCTCAGTGTTAGAGCCCAGACCCTGAGTTCAAGCCCAAGGACTGATACAAATACATGTGTGCAGCCGGGCGCTGGTGGCTCACGCCTGTAATCCTAGCTACTCAGGAGGCTGAGATCTGAGGATCGAGGTTCAAAGCCAGCCCGGGCAAGAAAGACCGTGAGACTCCTATCTCCAATAAACCACCAGAAAACCGGAAGTGGCGCTGTAACTCAAGTGGTAGAGCGCTCGCCTTGAGCTGAAGAGCTGAGGGACAGCGCCCAGGCCCAGAGTTCAAGCCCCACGACCGACAAAAAAAAAACAACAAAAAAAAAACCAAATATATGTGTGCACACTTACAACCCAAAAAACAGATACACTTTTAAATTCCTCATCTTCTTTCAAATAACTCATACATATAACTTTTTGCTAAGCATTTTGATATTCTTCTTTCTACTCATGTTAATATGTCATTATATACAAAACTATATGTCACTGAAATGGTATAACACCTGAACAGCTTTTTGTTGAGCCTCTATGTTTGAAGTTTCAAATGATGTAGAATATGTTAATTATAATACCACTTTTATTTGGTAATCTCAATAGGACTATTCAGGCTTCAACCCAAGTTCCAGTGGTCGTGTCTCCTGGTAATCAGCAATTACATACAGTAACACTCCAGACAGTGCCACTCACAACGGTTATAGCCAGCACAGATCCATCAGCAGGTGCTGGAGCTCAGAAATTTATTTTACAAGCCATTCCATCATCACAACCTATGACAGTACTGAAAGAAAATGTCATGCTACAGTCACAGAAGCCAAGTTCTCCTCCTTCAATTGTCCTTAGCCCTGCTCATGTACAGCAGGTTCTTACAAGCAATGTTCAATCCATTTGCAATGGAACCGTCAGTGTGGCTTCATCTCCATCCTTCAGTGCTACTTCTCCTGTGGTGACCTTTTCTCGAAGTTCACAAGTGGTTGCTCACCCACCTGGCACTGTAATAACTTCTGTCATCAAAGCTCAAGAAATAAAAACTCATATGAAAGAAGTGAAAAAGGAGGTTGAAGATGATTTGGAAGAACACACAGAGAAAACTGAGCAGCCACCACAGCCCTATGTGATGGTGGTATCCAGTTCAAATGGATTTACCTCTCAGGTAGCTATGAAGCAAAACGAACTCTTGGAACCCAACTCCTTTTAATATACCAAAAAAATTATGGATAATTTTTTAAAAATTGAACTCATTTTCAGTTGTCTGCAAACTATCTGATTAAACCTAAGATAAATCCAGAGAGATTCCTAATTTTATAACTGCTAAATTTCTAGTTAATTTTGACTTTGTTAGATGAGGGAGGAAAACCTAAGTGTTTCTTTACTCTCCAAATGTTTCTGAATTCAGTTTTGAAGGAACAGGCATTTTATACTACGAAGACATTCTTCTTGAGATTTTTCTTCAGTTGTTATATCATAAGCATTTTTAGATTTTCTTTTCTAATTTTACATTGTATTGGCTTTTCTGGTTCTTTTGTAAATACAATACTTAAATATAAATCAACAGGAAATTTATGTAGGAACTATTTTCATTCCACTTATATACATTTTAGTCTTGGCTGTTTCAAGTGCAAGAAACTTACTTTATACTTTGTCAAAATTATGATGTCATTTAGATTGACTTTAGTTGGCCACACTGTATGATTATATAAAATAACATTAAAAATTGGAATGTATCCTTGATACATATATCAAACTATTTCTGAAAAATGTGTGGAGAACCTTTTTTTTTCTGCCAAGGGACATTTTGATATTTATATCATCATCATCCTTGGACTGTACAAAATTATCAATATAAGCAGAGAGGGATTACAGGCAGTCCTGGGTTATGTCTTCTGTCTTGGAACAAATGATTTTGAGGCCTTACATGACCTGTAGGCTAGACATTTCCCATCCCTGTAAAAGCAATGGCCTTAGTGGCTTTCCTGCTAACTAGCTATGTAATCTTTTTTTTTTTTTTTTGGATCCAGTGGTGGGGCCTGAACTCTGGGCCTGGGCACTGTCCCTCAGCTCTTCAGCTCAAGGCTAGCGCTCTATCACTTGAGCCACAGTGCCACTTCCGGCTTTTTTTTTTTTTTTTTTTTGCTTATGTGGTGCTGAGGAATCAAACCCAGGGCCTCATGTATGCAAGGCAAGTGCTCTACTACTGAGCCACCTTCCCGGCCCCTAGCTATGTAATCTAAGGCAAGACATTTGATCTTTTGGGGCTTTAGTTCTTTCATAAAAAGAATTACATTGGACTACACAAAATTGATCTCCAGTTTGTTTCCTAGTTCTTACTTTTATGATTCTAACACCTATATTTTAATATTATGTCAAAACATCAGATTATTTCCTAATGTAAATACAGGTAAAATATTGTAGAAAAATAAGCAACCCTCTTAAAATTCATTCTTAACTTTGTTTCTTAGTATTTTAGTCTACTGCGTACTGTGATCTATTAGTAAATTTACATTGACGAGTTCTAAATGATATATTGCTATACTGAGGAAGTCAAGGCTCCTTAGGGCCAAGAAAGGAATGTGAGTTTTGGGCTAATCTGGCTGAGTAGTCAGTTGTTATAAAAGCATAATTGCTTTATATTTTGGATCATTTTTTATTGAGGGTGAGTGGAGAGGGAAGTTGCATACAAAAAATATATATTCAAGTTTCTGAAAGTTTTTAGATTACTTTTTCAACTGTAAATAATGTACATTTAATGTCACAAGAAAAATTGTTCTCTGAAAATTTTCTAGAATAGTCAAGAGAAATTTTTGTAGATGAAAAATCATTATGTTTAGAGGTCTAATGTTATATGTTTTCATGTTATAAAGTGAATTTGTATTTAAACAGAACTTTAAATTTTGGAATCCTCTAAACGTTTTTGTATCTTTATTATTAAATAAATCATGTAAAATTTCTCAATATTTCTGTTTGCAGGTAAATGTTTCTTAAGTATGCACAGAATGTTGCTAAGATTTACAGTGCTACTAAATGTTCCTATGACAAAACTCCATTTGGTCAGAATAATTCTCCTTTCATTTGACCATGCTATCTTCAAGTTTCTGGACATAGCACAAAGACTGCTGAGGACTTAATCCATTTTCTGCTGCTATATCAAAAGTCTACAGACTGAGTAACTTATTTCTCCGAGTTGGGTGGCTCTGAAGTCTAGTATCAAGATGCTGCCATTTTTCAAGAGCCTTCTTGCTCTGTCATTCCATGACAGGGCAGGAGAGCAATAGGTGACTGCTTTATGACAAATTTCCCGAAATAATGGGCCATAATTCATCAGGTCATATTTCTTCTCTGCCTAATCACCTCTTAAAGTTTTCATTGTTAAAGTAGCAATTAAATTTCAATGTATGTTTTAGATGGGACATTCAAACCATAGCAATCAAGCTCCAAAAATTAGAAATCAAAATATTCTCAGTAGTAATTTGAAATTCATTTTTTCCTTTTCTTTCAAGATAGGATTCTTTATGTAGTCTGGGCTGGCCTTGAACTCCTGAATGTTCTCCGCCTCAGCCTCCAAAGTGCTGGGACTAATGGTATGTATCACCACATCCAGCTTAAACATTCTTCAAATAACAAGTCTTCTAATTAGAAACCTTGGTAAGCTAATTACTAAACTTGTAAAACATGGCATGAATGAAATTAAAACCTATAAATTAATACCCCTATATTCAGTGAAAGTGATAGTTTCACTTACATATTAGGACATTAGTAAACACAAAAAAACATTTAAAGATGTATTTTAATGCAGTTCGACAAAACTTTTTAACTTGGTTAGTACTGTAGTTTTCTGTTACATAAATAGCAGTGAATATATAATAACTCACTTGTGCTACTGTCACAAAAAACGAGGTAATTTTGGGGCCGGGGTTGGTGTGGTACTAGTGTTTGAACTTGGGGCCTCACACTTGGTATAGGTAGGTGTTTTACCACTTGAACCATGCCCCTTGCTCTCTTTTGCTTTTTTTCCTCAAAGGATCTTTCTTTTTCTGAGGCAGACTGGGACTGTGATCCACCTACATACATATGCCTCCTGAGTAGCTGGGGTCATGCCTGCCTTGCTGATTGAGATGGGGCCTCAATAACTTCTTTGCTCAGGCTGGCCATACATAAAGATATCTTTCTGTCTATTCCTAGAGTAACTTGAGCTTACTATCTAGACTGTAATTTATAACAGCCAAATTTATTTGCTCACAGGTTTGGAGGTTTAGAAGTAAAAAATTAAGGGCTGGTAAGGTGGCTCAATGGTAGAGTGCTTGCCTTGAATGCATGAGTTCCTAGGTTTGATTCCTCAGCACCACATATGCAGAAAAAGCCAGAAGTTGCAATGTGGTTCAAGTGGTAGAGCGCTAGCCTTGCGCTGAAGAGTTGAGGCACAGTGCTCAGGACCAGAGTTCAGACCCCACGACCAACCAAAAGAAAAAAAAGTAAAAAATTAAGATCTGGCAGGTTTAGCAGTCGTGTTTCCTAGAAATAGCATTGGGACAATTAGATATCCAGATGGGAGATAAACCACCTTTATCTCCAGTCACACCTTTCACAAAAGTTAATTCATCTAGAAGGAAATATTTTCGCAGCTTTGGAATAGAGAAAGTCTTACTTACGACATTAAAAAAAGCACTGGGCTGGGAAGGTGGTTCAGTGGTAGAGCACTTGCCTTGCATGCCAGAGGCCCTAGGTTTGATTCCTCAGCACCACATAAGCAAAAAGAAAAAAGCCAGAAGTGGCGCTGTGGCTCAAGCAGTAGAGTGCTAGCCTTGAGCTGAAGAGCTGAGGGACAGTGCCCAGGCCCAGAGTTCAGGCCCCACGACGGGACCCAAAAAAAAAAAAAAGCACTGGCTATAAGATAAAGTACTTTGAAACAACACTGTATTAAAAGGCTTCAGAGAATAAAGAGGAAACTGGGAGAGAGACAGCTGCAATAAATATACCTGACAAATGACTCATCTAGGCCAAATGAAAAGTTCTACTGTTAGCTGGTAAGATAACACTCTTAAAAAATGATTAGGCAGGGCTAGGAATGTGGCTTCCTGGTAGAGTGCCTGCTTAGCATGCTCAAAGCCCTGGGGGGGTTCAATTCCTCTGCACCGTAGAAACTGACAAAGCTGGAAGTGGCACTGTGGCTCAAGTGGTAGAGTGCTAGCCTTGAGCAAAAAGAAGCCCAAGGACAGTGCTCAGGCCTTGAGTTCAAGCCCCAGGACTGGCAAAAAACAATTATGCAAAGGATTTGAGTAGATTTTTACAGCCCTAATATTTTTACATTTGTGTCCTGTGTCTCTAAGCTGAAGTTCAGCTGAATACATCCATAGCAAAACTTAACCTTTCTTTACAAATCTGTTTTTGCATTCATTTAATGGCGTAATGCCTTTCACCAACTGTGCAAACTAGAAACGAGTTATCTGTAAGCCCACATAGGTTTAGCCCCAAAATTTCTGTCATTCATTCCCTTTCCCCCTCCCCCCCCACATCTTTCCCTGCAGTGGTTTCATATTCATTGGTTTCACCTGTATTACAAATTATCTACCATGGCTATTTCTCCTTCATTCATTTACAGACACCACCACCTAAAAAGTGAAAATTTGACTGTCACTGCCTTTTGAAATTAACAAAACCTTATGAGTTAACGCCATTGAGTAACATTTAACCACACCCAACCTTAAAATGACCTGGCATGCATTCTGGCCCCTTCTTCTTCAACTTGATAGGCTCCTAAGCACTTTAGATCGCATCGTTTTTTTTCTTGTTTTTTCTGAACGATTTTTTTTCCTTTTCTTTCTCGATTGTTATCTTTGGAGCTGAGGTCAGTGCTACATTCTCCAGGCATCCATCCAGCTAAATGCTCCTCACCTCCCGGCACCCCTTTCATCACTTAGAGCTGACTGAAGCTTCTGGAGGACGTTCGTTAACCTCTTTGGAACCCGAAATTTAGTTGGGGAATAGGAGACATTAAGTCCATTTGTGTTTACCTCTTCTGAACCGGGCTCTCCCCCTCTCCCCATTCCAACCTCCCTCTAGACGTGGTCACAAGTTTTCCCACCCATCTGCTTGGGTGGATGGGGGGTGGGGACGGCTATCACAGCAAGTTGGAACGCAAACCCGCCCCTGCGGGCCCAACACGCAAAACCCCGCCAGGCTAGACCATCTTCCTGCCCTCAAACGCCTTCAGATCGGAACGTCGCCTGGGAAGAACGCTAGGGCACTGGAGTGCCGGGGAAGCCAAGCGGCACACGACTAACCAACTGGACGATCCGTCCCTGAAAGGCCAACCGACTTCCGGCGAGTTCCGGGCCGGAGGAGGGCGGGAGGCGGTGGGGGAGGAGAGGTCTTTACACAACCATCGCGGGAATTTGCGCGACATCCGGGACTCCGCTCCCGGAAAGGACCACATAGACGCAGAGTGTCGCGAGAAAAACCAAGCTGACTGTAGTCAGTCTCGGTGGGAACGAGTGTAAAAGGAGCTTCACGAAAGCATGCGTTGTTTAACGGACGTGCGTACGTCCCCAATCGCCACACGCCGTTGGTGACAGCAGGATACCGCCCTTTAGAGGTTTAGTCTGAGTGACGGCGCTGCCGCGGACGCCGTCGGCACCGTCACCATGGCCCCGAGGGGTGGGGCCTGTGAGAGCCGGTCACGGAGTCCTAGGCGGGACGGGACGCCCGAGGCGGTCCGCCGCCTTCCCAGCAGGCTCTGCGGCCGCCTGTTGCCGTCCCTTCCCCCAGCTGCACGCTGCGTGGCTACTCGTTGGCTATTTAGGACGGAAGCTGGGTTGGTGTTTCTCCAGAAGTTTCCCCCTTGGGCGGCGGCGGAGCTGGTTACCGTGTTAGTGGCCGCTTCGGCGTCAGCCACAGTGACTTAGTGATGGCGGCGGCTGCAGCGGGACCTGCAACAGCCCAACGGTGCGTGTTTGGTTTCTTTTTACCCCTCAAAACTTTTTGATGTTCTCCGATCCCTCTTCCCCTGGGCGGTGAGCCCGCGGCTGAAGTCGTTGTTTCTCCTGGCAGGTTTTTCCCGAGCTTCTCAGATGCTCTGATCGACGGGGACCCTCAGGCGGCCTTGGAGGTGAGCGGGCCGGGTTCTGCGTCTTCTCCACTCCTCAGCGGGGGTCGGGACTGCGAGGGGCCCCCGCCGACCCCGCCTCTGCCCAGCGAGGTGGTCCTAGCCCCAGGACTGGAGTCCTCGGGCCCCTTTCTCCATCCCACAGCGACCCCCTGTTCTTACCCTTCACGCCCCCAGCTTCCTGCATCCCGCCGCGGTGTGAGAAAACCCATCCGGTCTCGGGTGTTGGGTGTGGGTGTTGGGTGGGGGGGTTGTAGTGGGTGGAGTATAGTTACCATCCATGGTGGACCTGGAAAGTGACATTCGTGACAAAGAGAAATGTGAAATTCGGGCTTGGTAGATTAACTCACGTTTTCATCTGACTTGTGCTTATATACCAGGCACTGCCAAGGGTCTGAACTCCTTTTACCAGATCAAAAAACCTATTCTTACGTTCTTGAAACTTTCGAGAATAGTTGTCACTGTACATCATTCACTCTTTTGTTTAGACAATTTGTAGTTGCTGTATGCAAGGCGTTGATTGCTATAGGTTAAATACTTAGCTAAATTTAGAGATCACTGTTTGTTTTTGTTTTCGGTCGTGGGACCTGAACTCTGGGCCTGGGAGCTGTCCCTCAGTTCTTCAGCTCAAGGCTAGCGCTCTACCACTTGAGCTACAGTGCCACTTCGGGCTTTTTTCTTTTTGCTTATGTGGTGCTGAGGAATCGAACCCAGGGCCTCAGGCATGCAAGGCAAGCGCTCTACCACTGAGCCACCTTCCCAGATCACTGTGTTTTTGTGCACTGAAAGGCAAGTCTGTAAAACTAAAGGAATGCAAAAGATCTAAGAGTTTAAAATAAGCATAAAATGATGAGAGCCTGAACTACTGTGGGTCACACAAGTTAGGGTGCTTCTTGCTTTCCACAACAGCAGCGTGTTGATATTTATATTCTAACATAAGTAACCCTGTTAATCTTCTTATCTAGCCTAAGTAAATTTGACAACTTGAGGTCAGTGAGCCTTTTTTCCTTAGTTTCTTTCCGTAGTTTCCTTAGTGACTTTTAAAAAGAAATTTGTCTTAGGGTACCAGAGGCTGAGGTGGTGATGATTGAAGGCCAGAAAGCAAGCTAGTGTGAAGCTTTTGGGAAAGAGGATTCCTGGCAGGGAGAACACCTACTACAGAACTGAGTTTGACCTGTGTACCAGGAGCAGCAAAAATCCGTTTTTGCTTAGAGTGGAATGAAAGAAGATATACTTTGGCTGTAATCATTGTGAGAGCATATATACTGTGGGTTTTTTTGGTCATTTTTTTCATTTTTTAATTCGTGTGTAGTATTCAGTTGTGGCATTAACAGTATAGCTTTAACAATAGACATTTGAGTTATTTGTAGTTACTGGCTAGTATGCTTAAAAACCTCAATATGCTTGTAAGTTATGTTCTTGTATTTTGGCGAGCACATGCATTGGCTCTAGATTGTTTACACTAGAAGGAAAATCAGCATAGGATAGGCTGATGATTTGAGTGCCTTGATTGTTAATTTGTGGCACTTGGAGCAGCAGTAGCTGTGTTACCAGAAAACTCATTAGAAATGCAATTATTTTAAAACTGAAAATCCTTGCAACTCATCAATCCAAAACTTACTTCCTTTTTACAATCTACAGAAGAAAATTGAGACTAAACTCCAAGTGATCTGTTATACAAGTATACAGCTGGAGGCAGAATGGGAGACTTCAGAACACAAAGTTTCCATTTTAGCCAAATGCTGGAGAATAGTGGCTCTCTAGAGTGTGCCATTGGGACACAGGTTTCCTAACTGTAATGTTGTAGAACAGTGGCTCTGAAAAGTATCTCTATACCAGCTGCTATCATTGTTAGAAGGCACTTCTGAGGATCCACCACACACCTCGAACCAGAACCTGTTATGGAGAAGATGATCTGTCACCTTGAGGTCATCTTGATGACTTCATAAAGATTAGCAAGTAGATGTAAATTATTAAATAATAATAAAGTAGAAAGCAATGCCGAGCTCTTGTGATAAATCTGTGTGTTTCCTCTAGATTTTCCCAAGGTTTATATATGGTCTTACATATTTTACATAAGCTCATCAAATGAGGGATAAGGGAAAAAAGTTTTGTGTAGCATAAGACTGTTTCACAGTTTTTATTCAATTAAATAGCATATATTAATGGTGAATGCTGTCCTGGGAATCAGGACTCTATATATAAAGATGAAAAAAATGTGGAGAGGGAGTTTGCAATCTAATGGAGGGGGCGATAAGTCTGCAAGGCATTAAAATACAACTTGTAATGGGTTTGTGTATTAAGTACACTGAACATTCATAGCAAAATAAAGGGCAGCTAGGGGAGTAAAGAAAAAAAATTTATAGGAAGATGAACATGCTGTATAGGAAGGAAGAACTATATTCCTTATTATGTGTGTTGAAATGTTAAACAATTCCAATACTATGTCGAATAAAAATAAAAGTAAACTAAGTTAAATCAAAATCTTCAAAGGAGTTTGCAGTTCAGTAGAAGAGACAAAAATGTAGATTTTTGAGAGTCTTTTTGAACCTCAGTATGTATGGTACTTAAGAACCTAGTCTGAAGTCAGAGACACTTAGGCTCAAATCTTGGATTAATAATTGTGTAACCTTAACTAAATGACCACTCTTGAACAGGTTTCTCATTTGTAAAATGGAAATAAATAAGACCTACTTGAAAGAATTATGAAGGTAAATGAGATACTATTGTGTGCTTAGTATAGTACCTGGCACATGGTCAGGATTCGAGAACTGTTGAATTTGGGGGATGATACAGGTTATTCAGTAGTGTTAGAATGTAAAGTGTAAGGAGGTGAGTTGGCTACACAGCAGAGGCCAGCTTCCATCACACTAAAGGTCCTCATTTCTTATAATGACCTGCCATGGCAGTTAGCAAAGTAGGATTTTGTAGTTTTCTTTGCTGTCTAGATTAGAGCCATGTTGGCTTTTTTGTTGTTGTTGCTTGAATGTGGTAAGCTCAGTCCTGTTTTTGTCTAGAATATGTTCTTGACTTATCTTGCTTGGAAATCCTTATTCCTTTAGATTTCAGCTGGTACCTCCTTAAAGAATTGGGCTTTCCTGTGTAAATCTAAATGAGGCCAACAATAGTATAGCAGGACAATGATAGCTTGCTTTGTCTGTTACTGCACTTGGTAGATGATACCGTGCACATGTATTAAGTGATTTCTGTTGTAATTCCCATATTGACTGAGGTGGGATTAGTTTGCATTTTACTGTGGAAGTTGAGACAAAACAGTTTAGAGGCTAAATTGCTTAAAAGGCTTGGAAGTTTCAGAGGATCAAGCTCATTTGCTGGAAGACAAGAGGATTATCAATATAGATATATGATGTTGTTACCAATTTGGTAGCTGACTTTTTTTATTTTTTGGTCTGTCTTGGGGCTTGAACTCTAGGCTTGGGCGCTGTCCCTTCACTGTTCAGCTCAAGGCAAGCGCTCTATTGCTTGAGCCACAGCACCACTTCTGGTTTTCTAGTGGTTTATTGGAGATAAGAGTCTCACGGACTTTCCTGCCCTGCCTGAGCTGGCTTTGAACCTCGATCCTCAGATCTCAGCCTCCTGAATAGCTAGGATTACAGGCGTGAGCCACTGGGGCCCAGCGGTAGCTGACTTTTAAGTAGCTTTTAAAAGTAAGTTTTAAGAATACAGCTGAGGGGCTGGGAAGGTGGCTCAGTGGTAGAGCGCATGCCTTGCATGCCAGAGGCCCTGGGTTCGATTCCTCAGCACCACATAAGCAAGAAGAAAAAAGCCGGAAGTGGCGCTGTGACTCAAGTGGTAGAGCGCTAGCCTTGAGCTGAAGAGCTGAGGGACAGTGCCCAGGCCCAGAGTTCAGGCCCAATGACCGGACCCAAAAAAAAAACCCAAAGAATACAGCTGATTGGTAGGTAAACCCATTCTACATGGTTATGGTTTTTATTCCTCCTCTAGAAGTATTAAGTAGGTTAAAACAGAAGGATTAATGTTCTTGTTTATGTGGTTGAGGGTTAATTGTGTGACTGAGGAAGAAAATGGAATTAAATTGAAACCCAGAGCTAAAGCCTTCAGAGTGAGCAGTCTGCTTTTCCATTTTTTAAAAGTGTACTCAATTTGAACATGGCTTCTTGCTTGCTAGGCAGATATTCTACTGCTTAGCTAAGTCCTCTTTTTTGCACTATTTAGATAAGGTTTCACTTTGTGTCTGGATGCATGGACCAAGTGCCCCTACTTTAGGCTTTTTATGAAGCTGTGATTGATGGTGCATACCACTATGCCAGGAGTTTCTTGATCTTTTCTGCTTGGGCTGGCCTAGAACCATTTTCCTCTCCAACCTTTCACATAGCTGGGATACAGATGCCCACTACCCTGTTGACCTGTTAGTTCAGAAGGGGTCTCCAGTGTACACCCAGGTTGTCATTAAACCATGATTCCACTTATCTCAGCCTCCCAATTCGTGTGTGTGTGTGTGTGTGTGTGTGTGTGTGTGTGTGTGTGTGTGTGTGTGTGTGTGTGTGTGTGTGTGTGTGTGTGTGTGTGTGTGTGGCAGGGAGGGGACATTCCTGGGACTTGAACTCAGAGGGCCTTGGTGATGTTCTTGAGCTTTCATGCTGAAGGCTAGTGCTCTACCACTTGATGTTCTTGAGCTTTCATGCTGAAGGCTAGTGCTCTACCACTTTACAGATCCATTTCTGTCTTTTTTGGTGATAAAATTGGAGATAAAAATTGTATGGATTTCCCTGCCTGGGCTGGCTTTGAACCATAATCCTCAGAGGCAGTGTTGTTTTTGTGGTTAAAATCTACTTTGGAGTTAGTCAGACCTGGATTTGACTCATGTCTGGCAGTTTCTTGTCTCATGAGGAGGAAGCAAGGGAATTAATTCTCCATTCACATTTCGGGAAGGAGTATTCTAGTTGGAGGGAACACATATGTAGAGTTGTGAAAATGTTTGAGCAGTTACAGGGAACCAGACCATTGTGGCCAGATGGACAGAACTGGAGGAAGAGTAGCAAGAAGTGATATCAGAGAAGATTGAGAGTTATATCAAGGAGAGCTTCTGGAGGGACTTGGCTTTTGCTCTGAGTCAGCTTGAAAGGCATTGAGAGATAAAATAACAAAATCTCGCCTAACATCAGTGCTTGGACTAGTAGGCAAAGATGCTAAAAAGTGGTTTGGTTTTAGGTATATTTTGATTGATTGTGTAAAGAATCCCTCTATTAATTAAAAGTCAGTGATATGTGGTATGTAGCCATTGCAATAACTCAGTCAGTGGGTAGAGGATCTAAGTGATATTTGCCTGAACTTGTCCTTACTTATTGAAAGATCTTTTCATTATTATTCTAGCTACTACCTAAATCTTGTGACTGCCCAAGTCAGTATGAGTTTCAATCCAATGCTAACATAATCAACTGATAATAGCTACCTATGAGATTCCTTCTAGGATCGAACACAGTGTTAAAATCGACTAGGGTTTAAAAGTCCAGGTAAACCTGATTGTGTATTTATTAATCCCATTTATCTACCTGAGTTCAAGATTTAACTTGTAGGGGTTTTTTTTTTTTTTTGGTTGTGTTTAAGTCACATAGTGTTACATTTACTTGGCAGCTCAAATTCTCTATGATCTTTGAGTATTCTCTAAATTAGGAGGTATTTTGTATTGGCTGATGTATACTAACTCAACTTTTCAGAATAATGAGGTAATTACCATTTATTGAGTACCTGCTGTAGGCCAGGAACTGCTACGTAAGTGCTTTATGTGGGTATTATTTCTCATTGTGTGCTTTGGCATGGCTAGAGGGGAGGTAGTTATCCTCTTACAAAGAAAAGCTCCAAGTTTGTTTTTTTGTTATCTTTTCTCCAAATAGCATGTGATAATAAATTATGTTTTAATTAGGGTTAGATAGCTTTAAGAAACATTTACTGATGATCAACATGTTTGTATTTGTAGGAGCTGACTAAGGCTTTGGAACAGAATCCAGATGATGCACAGTATTATTGTCAGAGAGCTTATTGTCACATTCTTCTTGGAAAATACTGTGGTAACTTTTCTTACAAAGTATTTTGTCTGTTTATAATTTACTTACAAGTTTTGCCCAAGATAAAATGGAGATTATCGGTGAGGATTTTGAAATTAGTCTTATATCCAGTGTAAAGTAGCTATAATATTACGAAATTGTTAGAAACACTCACCTAATTATCAAGGATATGTCTTCTTTTTTCAGTAGGTAGATTATATAGATTTCAGGGGTTGGATCACATCATTTTAATGTGTTTAAATGAAATACTCCTTGCATTTTATAACTTAAAAATAATGTGTCTATATGGTGTGACTTTTAAGAATTATTCTAATTATGAATCTGGACAGGAAATTCATTACATTGAGTCAAGTTACATAAGTGTTGATGAGAAAAGGAGATGAACTTTGCAACAGAGCTTTTAATATAGGAGCTAATTTTAGGCCCAAAAGATGATGTGAGGGTAGTACTTGCTTGAATTTTGTCTTGGATTAGCTTCTTATAATTTAAAAGCATGTAGCCTTTCCACCAATTTAAGAATCTAAAAATTAAAGACTGATTCAAATTTTTTGTTTAGTATTTGCTATCTTTGCACATAACTGATTAGAAACACCATCTTTTTGGATACAGATGCCATTGCTGATGCAAAGAAGTCCCTTGAACTCAATCCAAATAATGCTACTGCTATACTGAGAAAAGGGTATGTACTTAATTGTATTTTTTTGCTTGAACTACAGATATTTTCATTTGTTAAACTAATTCATTATAAGGTTTTTATATATAATAAAATATGTATAGGCTGGGAAGGTGGCTCAGTGGAGAGTGTTTACCTTACATGCATGAGGCCCTGGGTTCTATTCCTTAGCACCACATAAGCAGAAAAAGCCGGAAGTGGCGCTGTGGCTCAAGTGGTAGAGTGCTAGCATTGAGCTGAAGAGCTGAGAGACAGCACCCAGGCCCAGAGTTCAGGCACCATGACCAACAGAACAAACAAACAAAACCCTAAAATATGTATATATTTTATAATGAGAAAACATTCAGTTTTAAGTATAACTCCCTTCTACTCCCTCTTGTACTGGAGATTGAACTCATAGCAAGCAGCTGCTCTATAACCTTTTTTTTTGCCAGTCCTGGGGCTTGAACTCAGGGCCTCGACAGTGTGTCTGAGCTTCTTTTGCCCAAGGCTAGTACTCTACCATGTGAGTCACAACACCACTTCTGGCTTTTTCTGTTTATGTGGTACTGAGGAATCAAACTTAGGGCTTTATACATGCTAGGTAAATACTCTACCACTAAACCACATTCCCAGCCAATGCTCTACAACTTTAACCATATTATAGTTGTTTTCTTTTGCACTTTTGCTTGGGCTGTCTTCAGACTATAATCCTTCTGTCCTTGCCTCTTGAATGCCACTACACCCCAGCTTAGTTTTGAGGTAGAATCTTGCTAACATCCTGCTTGGTCTGGCCACAAAGTATAACCTTTCTATCTTTGCCTCTAGAATTGCTGGGAATACAGGTGTGGGTTACCACATCTGGCTCTTCTGTTATGTTAACTGAAGGTGTATGTGAAGGAAATGTCTAGTTGCTATATTTTACAATCGTGATGATTAAAGTTCTGCAAATAATTATGGATGCTCTCTGTCCTAGGCCCAAACCAGGATGGATTAGCATATTTAATACTAAGAAAGCTCTATATCTTTTATCTGTATTTGTTGAACACAACCTCTTTTGTTGATAAGTGTGACTTGATTTATATGAAAATATTCCTTTCTATAATTATGTTTTAAAATGTGATTTGCATAATTCAAACCCCTTTTGAAGAGAGTTCCAATATTGAGTTTTAATGAGAATTATATTAGATGTTACAGTATTCTAGAAAATCTCTTGGCAAATTCTCTTGTTCAGCAGTACGAAGACTTTATTTTAATTTAGGAAAAAAGCTAAATAAAATCATTTGTGTATTTGTTTTTAATTTTGTAGAATATGTGAATACCATGAAAAAAACTATGCTGCTGCTCTAGAAAGTTTTACAGAAGGACAGAAATTAAGTAAGTATTAGAATTATTTTTTGGAAAATGAATCTTTATTATTAAGTAATTGTATAACAAAATTATAGTTCCATAAGTCAGGTTTCAATGCTTGATCATTGTCACCTCACCTCTTCCATTGTGTCCCCTCCCCTTATTCCCCATTCTTTTGTTTCTTTTTTTTTTTTTTTTTGGTTGGTCGTGGGGGCTTCAACTCTGTGCTTTTGGGCTTGGGTGCTATCCCTCAGCTCTTCAGCTCAAGGTGAGCGCTCTACTGCTTGAGCCACAATGCCACTTCCAGTTTTCTAATGGTTTATTGGAGATAAAGAGTCTCATGGACTTTCCTGCCCGGGCTAGCTTTGAACTTCCATCCTCGGATCTCAGCCTCCTGAGTAGCTAGGATTACAGGCATGAGCCACCAGCGCCCGGCTTTTGTTTACTTTTTGAAGGGGGAGCTCATAGCCCTATAACTTGGAATGTAATCCCAATCAGCCTCCAGTTTATACTAATTTATTATTTCTGTCTTAAATACCATAGCTAGATTTTCTTACTGTAATCTCAAATGAATTATAGGAATTCAACATCTTTCTTCCTCTTAATGATATTTGTATTTATTTACTCAGAGTACTAATGTGAGAAGTCTTTACAAAAAAAAAAAAAATTGTGCCGGGTGCTAGTAATCCTAGCTACTCAGGAGGCTGAGATCTGCGGATTGCGGTTCAAAGCCAGCCTGAGCACGAAAGTCCGTGAAATTCTTTATGTCCAATACACCACTAGAAAACGGGAAGTGGTACTGTGGCTCAAGTGGTAGAACACTTGCCTTGAGCTGAAGAGCTGAGGGACAGTGCCCAGGCCTAGAGTTCAAGCTCCACGACCGCAAAAAAATAAAAAAAAAATAAAATAAAAAATTAAAAATGTTTTTGGCTCATGCCTGTAATCCTAGCTAGTCAGAAGCTGAGATCTGAGGGTCATGGTTCAAAGCCAGCTTCGACAGTAAAGTCTGAGAGACTCTTAACTTCAATAAACCAGAAGTATAGCTATGGCTTAAGTGGTTAGAGCACTAGTCTTGGACATAAAAGCTTGGGCACAGTGCCCAGGTTCTGAGTTTGGGCCTCAGGACTGGCCACCCCACCAAAAAAAATCTTTTATGGCCAGGTGTTATTGGCTTACTCTTGTAATTCTAACTACTCAGAAGGCTGAGATACAAGGATCTTGACTTGAAGCCAGCTCAGGCAGGAAAAGTCTGTGAGACTCTTTTCTCCAATTAAACACCAAAAAATCCCCACAAACTTGGAGCTATGGCATAAGTGTTAGAATGATAGCTTTGAGCAACAAAGCTCAGATATAGCACCCAGGCTCTGAGTTCAAACCCCAGGACCGGCACAGAGACGCAAAAATGTCTGTGAAGAAGTAAGTAAGCAAGCTTGAATAAATTTGTGAGAACATGTAGAAGAAACATGTTCTCGTAAATGTTTTTTATTTGAATAAATTTGTGAGAACATGTAGAAGAAACATGTTCTCGTAACTGTTTTTTATTATATATATAATGATACTGGTATTTGAATTCTGCCTAGGCCCTGAGTTCAAGCCCCAGTACAAGTACTCAAAAAAAAAAAAAAAAAAAGCTGAGAAGTGATGAAGGATAAAGAAAGGAAGTTTGTTATACAGCCTGGTAGCCATAGGAAGTAAAAGGTCCCGGACAGATACTTATTTTCAGTTTTACATAGGAAGAATACTGGGGACAAATACAAGTACAGTCTCAGTCACAGATGTGTTCCATTAGTCAGAGGTGGTAGGCAGCAGAAGATGAGCTAGTTATTTTAGGATTAAGTCAAGTAGGGCCTTAGTATAAAATTCATTGATGTCAGGAAGGTGGTCAGGTCCTTCCTGGATTCCATCCACTTTGTACAAAGTGACTGTAGAAGAGAATGGTTCAGGTCAAAGAACATAGATCCAAAATGGAAGCTGGAATACTTAGCTTTTCTCCTGCTTTCAATTAATTCGTGGACCCAAGTAAGAAGTCAGTGTGCTTCTTTAGCAAAAGCAGCTTTCAAGTACCTGTAATCAGACTTTAATCCCCACCAACCACAGCATCCTAATATAGCTGGGATTCCAAGCTTGCCAGTTAGTTTATATAAGATCTTACTTTTTGCTGGTCTGATCTTGAACCGTGATCTTTTCAGTCTTCACCGTCTACTTCCAAGTAGCTGGGATTACAGACATGAGCCACAATACTCCATCCCCTCAGAAGTATAATTTTTAAATTTTTAAAAAAGTTTTTGGTGGTGCTGATATTTAGCAGTTATTCAGATAGGTTACTTTGGTTTTTCCTAGTCATTGTGATTACATGTGCTTCTACAACCCTCTTTCTACCTCTCCCACCTGGCTTGTGTTTGAGATTAGGATCTCACTTTTTGCTCAGGCTGGCCTGAACCATAATCTTCCTGAGTGGATGAGATAACAGCATTTCTTCTGCCCAAAAATGTCATGTTTTTGAAAGTAATGCTATAGATCCTTATATTTGTGGATATATGGTTCCAAGGAGACCTGTTGAAATGACTGCCAGAACTCTGAATTGACTAAAATGTATTGTTCGTATATATTAAGACTGAACATCTATAATTTGAAGTAGGAGGGCAAGTTACATTATTGTCACAAAAATTACTGTTGTCCACTTCAGAAACGAAAGCTTATTTTTTTTTTAAGAAATTGTATTGTAAAGGTGTTGTACAGAAGGGTTACAGTTACATAAGTCAGGTAGTGAGTTTATTTCCAGTTGAATAGTGTTACCCCCCTACCTCATTCTCTCTGTTTTCCCCTCTTGACTTCTCTTCCCCCAAAGTTGTATAGTTCATTTCCAACATAGTCTAGTGGGTTTCACTGCTGAATTGATTCACTCTTTGTCCCAATATTTCTAGCTTATTTCTTGCGCTTTACTTTGAATAATGTAAATGCTTGATTCAGTTTTCACTGTCTTAAATCAAGCATGTAAACTTTTACTTTGATTTTTTTCACACCCTTTGTCTTTTTTTCTCTTTGTCTTTTGGGAGGAGATTTTCACAAAACTGAGGGCAGGCAAAACAATAATCAGATCCCACAATGATATAAATACATTTAAGTGTTGATTTAATAATTTAAATGCATTTAACTAAGACTGAGTAGGATAATAAGTAGGATTGGCTAATCTGGGTAATGTGTATGTGTATGTGAGATAGTAACCTATTTTAAAAAAACATTTTTTTGATCTTATTACAATTTTTTTTTGTGCTTAGTCAAAACCACATGTAATGCTAAAATAAGGCAGTCTTGTTATATATGAACATTTTATCACCATACCTGCTTTTCAAGGTACATGAAAAGAAATGGTGAGAACTGAGAATTTAAAAATCACCCTAAGGGGCTGAGAAGGTGGCTCAGTGGTAGAGCGCTTACCTTGCATGCACGAGGCATCACATAAACGAAAAAAGAAAAAAGCCGGAAGTGACGCTGTGGCTCAAGTGGTAGAGTGCTAGCCTTGAGCTGAAGAGCTGAGGGACGGCGCCCAGGCCCAGAGTTCAGGCCCCACAACCGGACTCTCCCCCCCCCCCCCCCAAAAAAAAAATCACCCTAAAAGGTAGAGGTTCTGAGTAATACTGCAGAATATTATAGAAGACTACACAGACAGGTATCTGTCTTTATGTAGTGATTGTATGCCATAATTTTTTGAAACAGTGATAATAATATCTTAACTGGGAACAGTTTTGCTTCCAGGGCAGCTTCTGTGTCGGAAGATTATTTTTTTTGTGCTAATGGATAGACAGTATATTACGGATACTACTTAAACATGCTGTAGAATACAGAACAGTTCCCTACAAGAGAGCTAAGAGCAATGGGGTATGAGAATACCACAATTAAACACTGTACAACGAGTAAGTTTTTTTTTAAAGGAAAAAAGTTGTCTGGCCAAAAATGCCTGCTGTGTTGGGAAACCTGTTCTTAAAATTCTGTATTGTTTTAAAATTTGCTCCTCTGCTGTATACTAATCAAAAGGTAAGAGGACAGAATCTTTACAATTAAAAAAAGGTAAGACTTTAGATCCAAATATGCACACAACACAGGCATAAATTCAGAAGAGAACTGGGTGATAAGACTTCTTAAATGAGTCAAGTTAGCAAACCAGCATATCAACACCAATTGTAAATAATTTAGAAAACTCAAAGGAGACATGAGTCATGCAGTCTGTTAAATTTCTAAAGTCTGTGCTTTTTTTATTCCCTTTTTGTATGGTAAATGGCTTGGTTTTATTTACTGATTGAATAATAGGTTATTGGAGACGAGTATTTAGATAAGACAGTTCCCCCGGTAGATACATTATTTGTGTGCTTACATTTTTTATTAAGGCGTGTTGTTTGATTAGTTTCATAAATGAATCAGAATTTAAAGAAAACTTACTGCTTTTAACTTTTCAGACTAATATTTCCTGTTAATTAGTCAGATTTTTATTTTTTTAAGATTTGAAGTATTTTTATTAACCAATCAAGCTATCATTGAACTACACTTGCTGTATGTATCAAGTTAATTTTACTTTGATTATAACAACTTTTAGTTTCTCAATAAATCTGAAGTAGAAAAAATCCAGTTAACATAAATATGTTAGTTAGATTTTATTTAGATCACTTTTAGCATTTTCTTAACTGTCACAGTACCCACTAAAGAATGTCTAGATATTGCTCTGCATCTTCAGAGTAAATGCTTTATGTTCACTTTCACAGTGTTTTCTATAAATATAAAATTCACCACTTAAAGTCTCTTGGTTAATATGTAACTTGAAGTTGTAATAAAGCTTTTCTAAGTATAAATATTCTTTATGATGACAGAATAGGTAAGGAAACAGCTAAAACCACTGGGAGAATAATAGGATATATAACTACACTAAAGAAAGGCAGGATGATACCAGGAAAGGATTTTCAATCTCAGCTCAAATCCAGTTATCAGGACTAATGTCTTCCCTAGCCTGATGGAATATTTGCAGTCTGATTCAGTTCTGATTTTGTTTGTGACAAAAGAATTAAATATTGAGGGACTAGGAAGGTGGCTTAGTAGTAGTGTGCTTGCATGCATGAGGGCCTGGGTTTGATTCCTCACACCACATAAACAGAAAAAGCCGGAAGTGGCGCTGTGGTTCAAGTGGTAGAGTGCTAGCCTTGAGCTGAAAAGCTGAGGGACAGCATCCAGGCCCAGAGTTCAATTCCCACGACCAACCAGAAAAAAAAAAAAAGAATTGAGTATTGGGAGGAAGTGTGTATGATACCTTGGTAACTGGTGAGGTTAACTGTAGTTAAAACTAATTTGACACGTAAAACAATTTTCTAAGATAAACATCTAAATGGAAAACCTTTGGTTTTATTGATAGATGTAACATTAAGGTTATTAAAAGCTGTTAGGATAGTGAATGTTTATATTTACTGCTGAATCCCTAGTGCCTAGAACAGTGTTAGGACATTAATCATTTGTTCAGTATGTTGCATTTGGAAGATGAATGATATTACAGTTTTTCCTTCATTCTAGGTGCAGATGCAGATTTCAGTGTCTGGATTAAAAGGTGTCAGGAACCTCAGAATGGTATGTTTTATACGTTTTGAAATCATAGTCTTTTAATGTGAAATGAAGTGAGGTTCAAAGTCAGCTTGGGCAGGAAAGTTTGAGACTCCTATCTCTAATTAACCACCAAAAAGCTAGAACTGGAGGTATGGCTCCAGTGGCAAAAAAACTTAGGAATAGAGGTCACCTTGTAAGGTCCAGCCCAGTACTGGCATGCACACACACCCACGCGCACCTTCACTTCTCAGATCTCAGCCTTCTGAGTAGCTAGAATTACAGGTATGAGCCACTAGCACCTGGCAACATTGGTTTTTAAAGTTATAATTTAAGGAGTACCTATTTCCTTGTGTGGATTTCCAAAGACATACTTATTTTTTCCTAGTTTCTTAGTTTGAAAGTGATGAATTTGTTTATGTGAGAATCATGCTGTTACCAGTAAGAATTAAGTGAATCTAAAATAATTGCAGCATTCGGAATTAAGCCAACTTCTCTTTCATTTGAAATGTATGGAGAGGATTGGAGACCCTCACAAATTACAGAGTGCTTGCCTAGCAAATGTGAGGCCCCAAGTTCTCACCCCAGTATTGCTAAAACCCAAACAACAACAAAACAGATATAGGTGATTTAGCTTTAAAAATTTTTAAAAATTATTATAAAGATGATGTACAGAGGAGAGGGTTTACGGAATTAACTTTCTTAATCAGTATGTTGGTGACATAGAAATCATGTTTCTAACTTCCTATAAATATACTGCTATCTGAAAATGCTTTTTTATGTTTTATAGGAACAGAATCTGAGGTGGTAAGTCCAAAATTTCATCCTTGGTGTTTTTAATTTATAAATACATAAAATTTCTTATATGTCTGAGAAATATGTGAGATGGGATGAGCTTGCTCTCATATATTCAGCAGTTGAATTTAAATGCTAATTGTTTTTGTAACTGAAATGAAATAATTTTTGATGAAGTAAATTAAACAAGTTTATAGTCATGAAAATTATTGGATGTTTTAGTACGTAGTTTGATTTGGTTTGTTTTTGTATGGCCAGGGTAATTACTTCCTATCTTTTTACTGCCAAATAACTGCAAAAATATTATCTCATTTCTCTCAGGTTGAATAGTTGTAATCACTAGTTATTGTTATTATAAAGGTGGTATACAGAGGGGTTATAGTTATATAAATCAAGTAATGGGTACATTTCATTTTAGACAATGTCACCTCTTCCCTCATGTTCTCTCTCTGTCTCTCTTTTTCTTCATCTCTCTCTGTCTCTCTCTTTCTCTCATTGGTTGTGGGACTTGAACTCACGGCTTGGGTCCTGTTCCTGAGCCCTTTGTGCTCAAGACTAGCACTCTATCACTTGTGCCAAAGTGTCACTTCTAGTTTTTGAGTGGTTAATTGGAGATAAGAGTCTCACGAGGACTTTTCTGCCCAGGCTGGCTTCAAACTGCGATCCTCAGATCTCAGCCTGAGGATTACAGGCCTGAGCCAACGGTGCCTGATTTCCCTCCCTCTCTAGTAGGACTTTTATGATTAGACTTAAAACACATGGTATAATGTAAAATTGAAATGCTTATATCTAACTCATTGTTAATGTTTCTTCTTGTTTTGGAGTCGAAGATTTTTCAGGCATTTTTAGTTATTAAAAACTATGTCAGGAGCCGGGCGCCAGTGGTTCATGCCTATAATCCTAGCTACTCAAGAGGCTGAGATCTGAAGATCGAGGTTCAAAGCCAGCCCAGGCAGGAAAGTCTGTGAGACTCTTATCTCCAGTAAACCACTAGAAAACCGGAAGTGGTGCTGTGGCTCAAGCGTTAGAGCACTTGCCTTGAGCTGAAGGCGCAGGGACAGTGCCCAAGCCTAGAGTTCACGACTGACAAAAACAAAAAAAAGTCAGATTTTTTTTTTTTTAATCCTTATAGGCTTATATGTTGTTAAATTATGCTTAGTACTAGTTTAACAATAGACATCAACATTTAGTCAAGAAGGAAAATTACAAGGAGTTGGGAGATGTATGAATAGTCCTTGCTTATTCTATGGACAGTTAACTTTTTTGAATTGCTTTCTTCATTTCTCAAGGAAGAGTTACATCTCACTCTTCCAAAATTATTTTGTAACATTGAGAAAGTCACTTCATGAGATTTCTTCCTTTGTAAACGGAGGTTAACAGTTTATCTGTTTTCAGGCAAAATATATGTGTATGTAGTGATGAGGGTTTGGGAAATCTTCAAAAGAGAAGCCTATCTGTCCTTATACTTGCATAATTTCTAGTGGTGGGTGGAGAATGAATTAAGAGGTTTTCAGAAGTTGGCTTCTTGTTTTATCTTTACTAGTTTTGATCAGTTTTTATAGTATTTGAGATTCAGACTAGGTCTTCAAATAACAAAATGACATAGATTTTAAAGCAGCAGGAAACAAGAAACAAATTGTTACTAACAGGTGCTATAGCCTTCGTGCATTATTAGTCTACTTTTATACTGACTCTAGAATGAACTGAAATACTCTACTCTAGTCAGTATTTCCACTTGATATCTAAATCCTTATTATTTTTCATTCATTCACTTGAGGAGAAGTTCTGAGTTAGACTCAGATTTCTAGTGTTGTTTACCCAGTTTCTCCCTTTTTCATTTAGGGATGGTTTAGAGGCAACATATGATGGAAGACATTCTTTAGCTTTGTATACATAGTCTTAACCAGTGCACATGTAGTTTAGGAAAATCTGAGTAGTTCAGCAGTTAAATGGAGGTGTGGCTCAAGTGGTAGAGCACTAGCCTTGAGCAAAGAGACTAATAATTAGGGACAGAGCTCGGGCCCTAAGATTAACCCCTGGGACCAAAAAAAAAAAAAAGTTTTAAAATGCTAATGTCATAATCAGTTAAGGGAGTTGTTATGTCTTAGTATTATACATAAACTTTTCTAGTCAGACCCTTAGAAAGGCTTATTATTTTGGTACTGGTATTGTGTTTGAACTCAGAATTTTGATGAGCTTTCCCTTAGCTTTTTTGCTCAATGTTGGCACTCAACTGAACCACTCTTTCACCAGCTTTTTGCTGGTAAGACTCACTGACTTCTCTGTCCTTTTCTGCCAGAGCTGGCTTGAACTCTGATCCTTTTTTTTTTTTTTGGGGGTCCGGTCGTGAGGCCTGAACTCTGGGCCTGGGCGCTGTCCCTCAGCTCTTCAGCTCAAGGCTAGCGCTGTACCACTTGAGCCACAGTTCTACTTCCGGCTTTTTTCTTTTTGCTTATGTGGTGCTGAGGAATCGAACCCAGGGCCTCATGCATGCAAGGGAAGCGCTCTACCACTGATCCTTATATGTCAGTCTACTCTTAGTAGCTAGGATTACAAGCATAAGCCATCAGTGCCTGGCTGGAAAGGTTTTTTTTTGTTTGTTTGTTTGTTTTGGTCAGTAATAGGGCTTGAACTCTGGGGATGGGTGCTGTCCCTCAGCTCTTCAGCTCAAAGCTAGTGCTCTACCATTTGAGCCACAGTGCCACTTCTGGTTTTCTGGTGGCTTATTGGAGATAAGAGTCTCACGGACTTTCCTGCCTGGGCTGGCTTTGAACTACAATCTTCAGATCTCAGCTTCTGAGAAACTAGGATTACAGGTGTGAACCACAGGCACTTGGTTTGGGAAGGTTTTTTTTTTTTTTTTTTTTTTTGTGATGGTTGTTTTGTCCTTTTTTTTTTTAATGCCACATCCAGGGCTCATGGACAAGGGATTTATTGTGCTCTTACTCAGTTATTTCACTCATGGATGGATGGCTTTGTGCCTTTTAATCACACCTTCTATTGCTTTAGAAGGTTTTTTTTTTTTTTGTCTGTTGTGGAACCTGAACTGTTGGCCTGGGTGCTGTCCCTCATCTCTTCTCAAGGCTAGCCTTGAGCCACAGCTCCACTCCAACTCTTTCTGCTTGTGTGGTATTGAGGAATCAAACCCAGGGACTCATGCATACAAGGCAAGCACTCTATCACTGAGATACCTTCCCAGCCCTAGAAGAGTTTTTTTTTAGGTAATCTTTGCACTTAAACCAGATTGGCCTTGTCTCAGCTTCTAGAGTACTAGGATTACAGCAGTGTACCACCAAACCTGGTATTAAGCTTTATTATTATTATTTTAAACTGTGGTACAAATAGTCTTTACTAGTTGCAATAGTAAATGAAGGGTCTTGGTACTGAGGTGGCATCTATAGACCTTGTCATACCTTGTGAATAAATTTTTGCTTTTAATCGAAACTAATAAAATTGGGGCTGGGAAGGTGGCTCAGTGGTAGAGCGCTTGCCTTGCATGCATGAGGCCCTGGGTTTGATTCCTCAGCACCACATAAGCAAAAAGAAAAAAGCCGGAAGTGGTGCTGTGGCTCAAGTGGTAGAGTGCTAGCCTTGAGCTGAAGAGCTGAGGAACAGCGCCCAGACCCAGAGTTCAGACCCCACGACTGGACTCAAAAAACAAAACAAAACAAAAACTAATAAAATTGTTAAAGTGATTATTCTACTTATTTGTGATTATTGTATTATTTAACACTTACTGTATGATTTAACACTTACAAATACTATGTTTTACCTTTGAAAAAAATTTTCATGTAGTCATATCAAGAGGATAAATGAATAATACATACATTTTAATATAGTTGCTTATCAAATTTGTAAAAATCTTTTTCTTTCAACTTGCCAGAATCAATCTGTATCCCAGCGGACTCAGTCAAAAATCAAGTAAGCATTTCTTTTTCATAAATCAAGTCCTGACTACATAATTTTAAGTGTTTCATAATTTTATTTTAAAAAATGTTTTTATAGCCCTGTTAAAAACTTTAAGCCTGCCTAATGATATGTGTTAATGTTTATATGAATTCAAAACATGTCTTAAAACTTTCTGTGTATTTAGGGGAACTATTTTTCTAGCTAAATTGATGTCGGTATACACATAAAATGAGTTTGTAGTATTAACAGAATTGTAACCTGCCCTGCCTATTAATTTGGAGTAAATTATTTTTCTTTTTTAATTTTGTTTTTAGCTATACCGGAGATTGAACTCGGGGCTTGAAGCTTGCTAAGTAGATGCTCTCTAAACCACACCTCCAGTTCGAGTACATTTTTTCATAGGAATTTTCTGCTTGAGTTGAAAGTTAATATTGCTGAGGACAGTAATTATAAAGGATAAGCAACTGGCTGTTCTTTTAACTTTATTTTTAGGTATTCCTTAGCCTTGTGTACAACTTGTGTTAGAATTGTTAGGCATGAGGTGTGATCTGGAGCTCTGCATCCTCACTGAATTTCAGGGGCAAACTGTGAAACTGTTAAAGTTCATTTCTTTAATCAAGTTGTTTTTTACATAATTACCTGAACTAACTTAACTTAGGTAATGTAAAAACAAAAACAATTTACTCATGTTCCTTCTGGAGAAATAGAGGCTAGAATTTCAAGTACCTAGAAGTAAGAAACTTGACTTGCCTAGGGCCACAGCAAGAATAGGATACCTAAACATCAAGTAGTAATTATAGTGTTCTGAACATAAAATAAGTTAACATTTTATTTGTTAAGTATATTGTGTTGTTAGCACTGTGCTTCTTTCTGGGGATAGAATAGTGGCAGGATAAATAGCTCAGACTCGGGGAAATTACATTCTTGACTAAATTGAAAGTGAGGATTCCTGCATGTTTAGAGCTTTCAGAGTGAAAGATATTTATAGAGAAATCTCTTGACACATGGGTCTTTTTCATACCTTGGATTGAAGGGGAAAATATTGTGTATAATGTGCTTAGCACACTCTGCCATTTTGTTACTCAAGGTGGAGCTCTTGTTACTTATTTACTAGTTTTTATTTTGCAATTTCAAGAAAATTAAAAGTCCTGTTTTAAGGGGTTTTTCCTTTCTTTTTTGATAGGTATGATTGGTATCAGACAGAATCTCAAGTAATCATTACACTTATGATAAAGAATGTTCAGAAGAATGATGTAAATGTGGAATTTTCTGAAAAAGAGGTATTTAGCCCTTGAGACATTCATGGGGAGATTTATTTGGGGTAGTTTATGAGATGCCATGTCTTCCTGAAATTATATGGAAAAACACTGAATAAAATATGAATCATTGTTTTCACTGTTTGAATTATTTTAAGTTTTGAGAAGTTTTGAGATAAGATAGTTAGATGTTGGGGCTGGGAAAGTGGCTCAGTGGTAGAGTGCTTGCCTTGCATGCCTGAAGCCCTGGGTTCGATTCCTCAGCACCACGTAAGCAAAAAGAAAAAATGCCGGAAGTGGTGCTGTGGCTCAAGTGGTAGAGTGCTAGCCTTGAGCTGAAGAGCTGAGGGACAGCGCCCAGGCCGATTTCAGGCCCCATGACCGGACCCAAAAAAAAAACAAAAACAAAAACAAAAAAGATAGTTAGATGTACATTTTATTCAGATTTGGAATGCAAGGGAGAATTTGTTGACAGTAAGATAGATAATTTTGCTGTATAGTGTACTTCATAATTTGTTGTGTGATCTACATGTCTTAGAATTACTAAGCGTATTAAACGACTATTTTAGCTACTTGATTTCTTAGCATTTAGTGGGAACTTTATGATGTTTCAGAAAAGTAGTGGCAGAATTACATGATTAGTATAGGAATAGCTTTTTATTACATGCTTTTTACTACATTACTTTGTTCTTGTGTGGTATGTTTTGTTTACATTTGAATATTAAATATGTGGCAAACATGATATTTTTGCTATTTTATATATAAGAAAATTCACATAAATCTGATACTGTATTTACAGTCCCTGATCTACAGAATTGAAGTTCTATATATTCAGTTTAACTATTTTACCCTTTATACATTTATAAAATGTATTTTGTGTTCAATAGTTGTCTGCTTTGGTAAAACTTTCTTCTGGAGAGGATTATAATTTGAAACTGAGACTGCTTCATCCTATAATACCAGAACAGAGCACATTTAAAGTACTTTCAACAAAGGTAAGGAAATTGAAAAGGATTATTCTAGTAATATATTCAAAATATGTAAGTAATGATGAACAAAATACCCTGTGTTTAATAAACTTCTAGCTTCTTCTAAACCAATACCTTTAAAGTAAAAGGGACAGATATAAAGAACAATGATTTTTGTTTTTAAACCACTTTGTACATTTTTAATACAAGAGAATGTAAAAATCCATTTGGCTTGTATGATGTTTATATAGTTATGAAGGTAGTGCTATTTCTCAGTAAAGATAGACATTGGTATAGGCAGATATAATAGGGCTTATCTTATAATCCAAGCATTCAGGAAGTAAAGGCAGAAGGAGCACTAGTTCAAGGCTAACCTGTGCTTATATATTAAGATGTTGTCTTAAAAGTAATAAGCTGGGCACTGGTGACTCACACCTGTACTCAGGAGGCTGAGATCTGAGGATCATGGCTCAAAGCCAGCCCAAGCAGGAAAGTCTGTGAAACGCTTATCTCTAGTAAAACACCAGAAAACAGGAAGTGGTGCTGTGGCCTCAAGTGGTATAGAGTGCTTGCCTTGACCTGAAGAGCTGAGGGACAGTACCCAAGCCCAGAGTACAAGCCCCATGACCAACCAAAAAATAAAAAATAATAATAATAGTAATCAGCCTTTGTAAGCTTTGGTGCTATCAGTGTCTCTTGTCATTAGTTTGTCAGTTTTGTCTTTTTAATACACTTTTTTTTTTCATTGTGCCTAATGAATTTAAAAATACAAACAACTGCTGGGTACTGGTGGCTCATACCTGTAATCCTAGCTACTTTTTTTTTTTTTTTTCCGCATTTCTGGGGCTTGAACTTAAGAGCTCTGTCCCTGAGCTTCTTTTGCTCAAGGCTAGTGCCACTTCTGGCTTTTCTGTTTATATGGTACTGAGGAATCAAACCCAGAGCTTCATGCCTGCGACGCAAGCATTTTACCATTAAGTCACATTCCCAGCCCATCTCTGAGACTGTTATCTCCAAGTGGAGGCTGTGGCTTAAGTGGTAGAGCATAACTTTGAACACAAAAACTCAAAAACAGCACCCAGGCCTAGAGTTTAAGCTCCAGGACTGGCAAAAAACAACAACAACAAAAACCCTATAAAGACAGAGTTGGGTTCTTGCTTTATTTTTTACTTCAGCTGAATTTTGAGTTACTTTATTATGAAGGAATGGTGAATAAATTACAGTTTGAGTTACAGTTATGTTTAGATTCCTTTGTATTCAAAAATAAGTAGTTTAAATATTGAGTGATATTTAAGAAATTCAGTGATATTTAAGGTAAATTAGTAGGGAAAATACAGAATTAAAAATCAGAAACCCTGCCTCTGGCTGTTTTTATGCCCAGTAAATTTATTCACAAAATTATTCTTAGGCCTAAGTTTCCAGCATTTGTACAATGAGGGTTATAGGCTAAATAAACTCAAGTTTTTTCAGCTATAAAATTGCTATAAAATTGAATGTTTTTGAATTTATGATAGATAATGAAAATGAATTATAAAGGCCAGCTAGAATCTTTTTAATATTTAAAACATGTTGTGTATAACTATACTCACCCTTATATCTTTAAGTTTCTTTTTTGAGGAGGAATAGCACTGGGCTTTGAAATAGCTTCTCACTTGCTAGAGTCATGCACATGGACATGGATCTGAATCCATCAATGCCATGAAGAGTAACTGGTCATACAGAAAGGATAGCTACACAAAGAGAGCAGGAAATACTAAGTAAAGAAGTAGTTTTCTTGCATCTAATTAAAGGCCTTTTTGGGGGGGGGGGTGCCAGTCTTGAGACTTGAACTCAGGGTCTGGGCACTGTCTCTGAGCTGTTTTGCTCAAGGCAGCATTCTGCCATTTGAGCACAGCTCCATTTCCAGCATTTTGATGTTTACTTGGAGATATGTCTCACAGGCTTTGAACTGCAGTCTTCAGATTGAGCTTTCTGAGTAGCTAGGATTACATACATGAGCCACCAGCACCTGACTAGACTTTCCTCTGTTTGCTAACCATAAAACTAGTAAGTTAATGAGGAAAATGAAACAAGATGTGTGTCAGAAGAAAGTGGGAAAAGAAATTAAATCTTAACCAGAATTTCAGTCCATCACTTAATCCTGTTAACATAGTATAGAATTTGGCAAATAACTTTGAAGCCAAACTGGTGACTCGTGCCTATAATCCTAACTAGCTACTAGGGAGGCATCTCTGGGAGGTTGAGAGGATTATTGAAGCTAGCCCGAACAGAAAAGCCCAGGAAACTCCATTTCAGAAATAACCAGCAAAAAGCCAGGTTGGAAGAGTGGCTTGAATGGTAGAGTGCAGGCTGAGGAAGCACAGGCCTGAGTTTAAAACCAGGTACCACCAGGAAAGAAACAAAAAAATAATTGAGTTAATATTAACACTGGGTAGATGTGAGAGGAAGACAGACCAAGAAATTACCGGTTTGGTTTCTTTGTGTATATTTGACATAAAAATCTTAGAGCGCTTGCCTTGCATGCATGAGGCCCTGGGTTCGATTCCTCAGCACCACATAAGCAGAAAAAAAAGCCGGAAGTGGTGCTGTGGCTCAAGTGGTAGAACACTTGCCTTGAGCTGAAGAGCTGAGGGACAGTGCCCAGGCCCAGAGTTCAGGCCCCACAACCGGACCAAAAAAAAAAAAAAGTGGCTTCATCTTTAAATGTCTTCCATCAGAAGGCATTTAAGTTTAAATTGATTTATGTGAGTAGGGGATGAATGACTTAGTTTCACATATTTGAAATACAAATGAAGTTAATGTTTCAGATCAACTGAATAATTTTTTAGTATAAATGTCTTCTATGTTTTATTTTTATTTGGTAAGTTAATTTGTTATGGTGAATTAATCTAAAATGAATTATGATGTTAACCTTAGGAAGTAAGCATTGTTTTTTTGTTTTATTTTTGGTGGGTCGTGGGCTTGAACTCTGGGCTTAGGCACTGTCCCTGTGCTCTTTAGCACTCTGCCACTTGAGCCACATCACCATTTACAATTTTCTAGTAGTTTATTGGAGATAAGAGATAAGAGGCTTTGAACCATGATCCTCAGATCTCAGGCTCCTGAGTAGCTAGGATTACAGGTTTGAGCCTTCGGCACCCAGCTAAGCATTGTTTTTGTTCTTGGTTTTACTATGGTTGGGGGGGAGTCAGGACTATATGGATTGCAAACATTATCCCTACGTTTACAGTTAACTAAATTAATCAAACTGGTGCAAAATGTAACTGTTACCAGACTACATTTATGCTGTGTTTTGTAAAAATAAAAGGATTTCTTATCCTGAGAAAATGAATGATGAAATCTTTGAGTCATTTCTTTTTTCAAACAGCAGAGGGAGACAGTGTTAGAAAATATTCAAAACAAAATCTAGGTTACTGAGGCTTTTATTAACTGGTGATGGTAAGGAAATAGTCAATTTTCTTTTCTATGTATTAAGTGAATTGAAAGTATTTAATGAATCTTCATGAATTGAGGAAAGCGTGTATTTTGTTTAGAATTTGCTTTAAATGAATGGTTTTGTGAAATTTATGGTTTAAGTGAACTTCTTTGCTTTTTGTAAGAGTGCCAGTATTGGGCTTGATTTCAGTGTCTTCCTTTCTCTTGGCTTTTTCACTGGCGCTCTACAACTTGGGCCATATCTCTATTCCCAGCTTTTGTGTGGCCAAATGGAGATAAGAGTCTTTTTTTTAATTGTGAAAATACCATACAGATAGGTTACAATTACATGGGCAAGATAGTGAGTATATTTGTTATCAAGCATTTTTGCCTCCTCCTTTGTTTCCTCTTCCCATCCCTTCCCCTCTCCAGCCCCACCACCCACCCCCAGAGATCAGAGTCTTAAAGGTTTTGTCTGCCCGGATCACCTTTGATATTGGATCCTAATATCTCAGTCTCCTCACTTGCTAGAACTATAGATATCAGCCCCCCCACTTGAACTCAGGTTCTGGGTGCTGTCCCTGAGCTCTTCTGCTCAAGGTTAGCACCCTACCACTTTTTTTTTGGTCAGTCATGGGGCGTGAACTCTGGGCCTGAGGGCTGTCCCTCAGCTCTTCAGCTCAAGTCTAGTGCTCTACCACTTGAGTCACTGCACCACTTACATAGTGGTTTATTGGGGATAAAAGTCTCATGGACCGTTCCTGCCTGGGTTGGCTTTGAATCCGATCCTCAAATCTCAGCCTCTTGAGTAGCTAGGATTACGGCGCCTGGCCCTACCACTTTTAGCCACAGCTCTGCTTCCAGTTTTCTGGTGACTAATTGGAGATAAGAGTTTCACAGACTTTCCCATCTGGGCTGGCTTTGAACCACAATCTAAGATGTGAGCCACCGGTGCCCAGATTTGCTTATGTCTTTTTGGGAATTTTATTTTCTTCCTACCTTTAAAGTTGAATAAATGTTGTATATCCATGACAACCATTATTTATATGTTTCATTAAAGTGAAATATTATGTAGAAAATCCCAGAGAGAATGTAATGAAGTAGGAGTACTGTTGGTTATCTGAATATGTAAATGTTGGGCTTTTTTTTAGCCTTTTGATACAGTGGTGGTATAGCACTGAAGTGTTGCATGTGTAAGTTGCTGATAGCTTCAGATTATAGATTTTGGAGTATATTCTTTTCTTCTCGATATATTATTTAAAATAATTTTACTATAGTTAACTTTTAATTTTTAGCCATCCTTGGCAGGAATGTCTGTGAGATCTTTTATCTCCAGTTAGCCACCAGAAACCCGGAAGTGGAATTGTAGCTCAAAAGTGCTCAAAAGAGCAAGACCCTTGAGCAAAAAAGCTCAGAGAGAGCACCCAGGCTCTGAGTTCAAGCCGCATGACTGAGGAAAAATTTCCAGTAAACTGACTTAGAAAAGATCCCTTTGCCACTAGTTTGTTCCAATGAGTAGGATCTTAACACTTTTTAAGAAGAAGGTGCCTTAATGCCATGGTTGGTTAGAAATCACAGTGGTGGGGCTGGGAAGGTGGTACAGTGGTAGAGCG